AAAAATCAAAACATGGTCTGCTCCTTCTTACTTGTGTTTGGAGGAGAATTATGTCAAATGTTATGAAGAGAAGAATAATGGAATGGATGCTTTGATTATTGGATTTGAATCACACAAAAGGATGTTGAAATGTGACTTGGAAAAATTGTTGCAAAATCCTAACGCTACGTATAAAACAAAAGAACCAACAAATGCAATCATTTGGTCCTATGACTTTGATGCTCCACCCCAAGGAATTGCTGTTAAGAACCATCAGCTCTTTATTGCATTATCGGAAGACAACGTAATCGTAGTGATGGACTCGTGCACAACGAAAATAATTTGTAAAATTCAATTGACGTTTGAACCACATGGACTTGCTTTTGCAAGCCATGGAAGCTTGTTGTGCACTACTTTCGAACATAATCTCGGTTATGTTTACGTTTTTAATGAGGATGGTAAGAATGATTGGAGGAGCACAACGCGATTTGGATCTGATCAATTATGCCTTCCTTATACACTTACTTGTGACAAAGTTGCCAATCATATCATAGTTACCGACGTTAGCAAGTCGAGTATTGTCATTTTCACACAAGACGGACAGTGTGTGAAATATTTTCAGCATCCATCCCTCAAGGAACCGTTTGGAGTTTGCTTGAATGAAAGACAAGGAGAGTTGATCGTATGTGATCACACCCTTGGGCAGGTGCTTGTTTTTAAATAAGGATTTTATCTTGCTCGTTTTTGTGAACTATTACACACGACTCGGGAGCTTCTCATACTCCGAGTAATGATTTCCACGAATACGCCAATTCAGCCCAAGTCTGGTTGGATGAAACAAAAACGTATTTATGAAATACTTTAATAATTATGAATGCGGTTGTGAACTCACGATTTTCGTCACTATTAAACAGTTCTAATCTCATATCTTCCAGAAGTCGTCAAATATCTCACACCCTTAAATGGCTTATAATTTTCATTTCTCAATTGTACACTGTCGACTTTCAATCCTGACATGGAGACTCCATCGAGTTCAAACTGTACCTGAACGGCAGGGCAGTAATGAATTTCATGTTCAGATTTTCCTGACATTAGTGGGAATGTAACTTTTCCTGACAATGAAGGTGTTGGGGCCTTAGATTGTTGAGTTTGTGGGCTCAATTTACCAATATTCCAAATCAAACTTTGTGAATTTGCGTCATAGTGAATAGAGCCAACTGATGTTGTTAATTGTTGAGCATCAGTAGGAGGAATTGGAATTAAAACTTTCACATTGTCCAATGATTTGTTGTGTGTATGTCTCAAGTTGAGCATTACGTTCACATTTGCTCCTCCTCTATAGAATGTAATTTGAGGTCGACAATAAATAGGGAGCATGGGCAAGTTGGACATACGGTAGCAGAGTAATTCATAATCTCCATCAGGTGGAATGAATGAAATGGATTTATCCTGTTCAAATCTAGCATAACGAACACAAGGATGGAATGAAATGTCCTCAATAATATTAGGATCATTGAATTGGAGTAACAAATCAGGCATTCCAGATAATTTACAACTTGATTTGATAATTCCGTAAACTTCAGAAACAGCAGAACCACCATTCACGTCAACAATGACATTGAGAGTTTCAACAACATCAAAGTACACTTCATTGTTCATGTACTTGATTCCTCCCTTACGCCATGGAACGAGGGCCTTGTTATGCCCAGAAATACCAACACTGTTTCCTTTTCCCAACTCTGCTGTTAATTGTTTGGCTATGGAAGCTGGTTGTCGAACAAGATCTTTCAAGAGAGAAATTTCTGTAGTGATTGGAAATCCTCCATCCACCATTTCATCAAGGAGCTATGTGTATGATTTTCATGATCGTGTGGATTGGTTTCAGTGAAATGTTTGTCATTGTGTTTTGATTTAGATATTGTGAAATATCCGATGTTGTGTTAGAGTGTTGTTTGTGGAATCATTGTTCAAGAAGATTATATCACCACCGACCATGTGTTATTCCGTAATAGATGATGATGATGAAATTTTGAAGAAATTATGTACCCGATATCCATACCAGGATCATCACGTATGATTGGTACAGGATAAAAAACATAGATTCACGGATGATGATCATTATATTTGAAGGATAATATGGCCAAAGAACAAAACATTCAGGACCGATGGTAATATTCATCATCATCATCACGATACCCGAATAATTCCTTTATCATCAAAATGTTAAATTTCAAAGGACCCACTTACCTGATAGACCACTACAAAGTTATTCTTTAAATTCTGCTCATTCACCTTCTCAATATAAATCTCCAAAGTATCAACAATACGATGCAACATTTCAATAATCATCAAAGGTTGATATTCCTTATCCACCACACCAAGAAAATATAAAGAATTACGAAAGACATGAACCACATAATATTTAGATGTAGAAATAATTGGAGAAACATTAGAAACTCCTCCTTTGTGTTGTTCCTTCATAATCTCTGTATAGAACTGTTCCGCAACACTTCTGCTCACATTTCCTAAGAAATGTCTTTCAATGATGATTTCGCCGAGTTTGTCGAGGATAAAAAATGACTTCATTTTTTTTTGTTGTTGTGTTTGGAAAAATCTTTGTGAGCTGGCGGTCTTATGAGGGATGAAGTGATGATTCATACAAGACAATTTGCTTCATTCTTTAATTCAACTCTTATATGTTCAATTGGAAAGTAGCATCAGGGCTTCGGATTGGCTTGTGGTCAGATTTTTAGCGAACCAATATCGTTCGGAGGATGAAAAAACACGTTGGAAGAGGATTTCAAAAGCATTTCAAAATCATGAAGGAAGAGGATTTTTCTAACATTACACAAAATCATATGAAGCAAAGTTTCATGTAGACTTGGCCAGCAAATTATGAGAACACGAATTGCCAATTCCTTCAATTCATATACCATGAAGAAAACATTTCTCGTTGAACGACTCGAGTGATCACTGAATTACAGTTCATTGAAACATTTTCTCCTCTTGACACATCTCTCCATCTTGAATGACAAGATGAGAAGAGACCCCTCTTGGCAGTCTCCAATCGCACGGAAACCATTTCGATTTTATTTGGACTAAGGCTGTTTTAGGTGTTGAATAGTAACTAGACAACAACAACAACTTCTCATAAGAACCAATGGCAAATAAGCATCATTTGTTGTTGAATTTGCCCATCCTGCAATTTCGCCGTTTCTGTATCCACTAACTAGTACTTCCTCAGCCACAAATGGACTCACCATTCGGTGGTCCACAACAATTACACTCTTTTCGAAAAACAACAACAACATGCAACCCACCTCCTCCTTGCTCGATCAACTCAAAAACCATGGTAGTGCCGTTGCACTCCTTCTCCTTCTCATGATCATCCTTGTGCTCTTTAAAAAATTCATTCTCGGTTCCACAGCAAGCGACGATGAAATTCGTCACTATTTACGAGAAGGAGCTTTCATTATCGATGTTCGGAGTCGAGGAGAAGTGTCAAGTTCTGGACTCTTTCCTGGAGCTGTGAATATTCCGATGGGAGAGTTGTTGGAATTTCCAATTTCACAACAACCATTACTTCCCCGCGATCGAGAACATTCGAAAATTATCGTGTATTGTGCCTCGGGAATGAGAAGTGCTTCGGTTCAAAATACGTTGAAGGAGATGGGATTTCGAAATGTGCTGAATGGTGGTGGACTTTCGAATATGATGAGATTTAAATAATTATTTAATGTGTCAAAAAGTTTTGAATCATGGAATTTCATAGCGACCACAGTGAGTGATATTGATGAGTCCATGAGAATTCAATATTCACAGTCTATGAGTGAGCAAATTGCATTTGTCGTAGTACCCAATGAAAAATATCATTACCAAAAAAAGGTAAAGTAAGGTTTTATGAGTAAATAAATTCCGATAGCCATTCATCATCCTCAATCAGCTACTCATTCTCCTCATTCCTAACATCTATAAACACCAAGGAAACACCAAATCCCAAAAAAACAAGTCCACTCATGCTGCCAAAAACGTCGACGACAACAATACAAAATACCACACCAACAACCATGCATGGATCATGTAGTTACAACACTTCTTGACTCGTAATTTCCTTCGTATTGAAAATGGAAGGTGTTTTAAATACAAGGATAAATTTTCTAAAATCAAAAACGAAAAGGTTTTCGCTAAATCTCTTGAGTGGTTCGATGAAATTTAACATATTGAGAGACGATGGATGTGAACAGGAAAAAATTGTGGCAGAGGTTCTTTTTCCTCAATATGAATATATTGGAATATGTGATTTAAATAACGAGATAAAGGATGGCCAAGAGATTTCCTGAAATAAACTTGTCATCAACGAGGCCCGAACGGATATCAAAAAAAGATATCACAAATTACAAGAAATTCTTTAGTTTTTCAAATAGAATATCTGCAATTCTATCATAGCCTTCAGGTGTGAAATGTAATGGATCGTCCCAATATCTATTCCTCTCCTCGTCAGTACATTTGCAATAGTTCAATTCCTCCATTAAATCTACAAAAATCAATTTTGAATTTCTTGATTTTTCTACATATTCTCTAATGGCATAATTGACCTCTGATTTCTTTTTCGAATATTCTTTCATCAATACAGAGTTCTCTGTTTGTGATTTCAGATCGAGAGCACTTGAAGGAATCGAGCAAGCCACCACGAATTTGAAATGATCATTCATTAAACCCTGTTCATACATGGAAATCAAATTTCCAATTGTCACATCTGAAGTACAAGCAGGTAAATCATTGGTTCCTCCAATAATAATGATACCTTGATAGGTTCCCGGTAAATAATAGTTGAGAATTTGGCCGAGGCGAAGTTTCATTTGATCAGTTCGTTCGCCATTCACTCCGAAAGGTTCCACATGATAGAGAGCTTGCTTGTTGTTGAAATTTGAGAGCAAGGAAGAGAGTTTGATTGAGTAGGGATGGTATTCGAGTCCATTGTTGTAATAGCCGGCAGTTATGGAAGCTCCAAGTGCGAGAATATTGATGGGTCCTTGTTCTTGCATTTTTTTGTAGTGGGTTCAAGAAGTGCTGTGAGAATGTGAACTAGTTTACAATGTGGCGTTTTTTCCCTAAAATTCATAATAGAAAGAGGTCCATTCGACATCGAGAATCTGATTCAAGTACTTGTACTGGCACATATCAAAGTCATACTTTCTAAAACTCCTTTTTCAACGAGTCATATTCGAGCTATTCTCTGTGTTCATAACATTGCGCTGTCATGGATGTATCCAAGTTCGAAAGGTGAGTTTTTTTAAAAACTCTTCCCTTAAATTCACACATGAGGATCATCCATCATCATTTCATCCAATGAAGATGAATCAGCCTCTGCTTGTGGTGTTTCTGCATCGATGCAACTACTCAATTGACTATCACATGGATGATGAATAACTGGGCTTGCTCTTCTACTAAAATAATATTCTTGTTTTCGTTCTTGAAAACATGCTTCATTACTTCTCAATAATTGAAATGCTTCACCATTCACTCGACTTGTATTCCAATCTGACGCCCAATGCATTGGATCCGTCAATAATTGATCAATAGCCGTTAAAATTGTAGAAATTACAAAACACGGTTTCCATTCGTTTAAGGTCAATAACGGCAGACACACTTCGCTCGTCATTGGATGAACATTCGGATGATAGAGGGTATGACATCTCACTCTAGGAGGTTGTAAAGGATAATTATTAGTAAATCGAATTTCAAATTCGTGGTGACACAGGTGTTGTTGTGTTGATGGTGATCTTGCTCCGCCATTCGTAATGAAATTATTTTGCTCACTGTTACAATTTCTCAGATCGGGATCGAATACGGTATACAACAAGGTATCATATGTTTGATAACCATGATGATGTTGATGAGAAAATAACTCCTTTGAAGTCTGAAATCCTCCTGACATGGAGGCATTGTGATATTCCCAAAATGATGATACTTGTTCCCGACAATAAAGAGTCAACCGCTTTTTCCGACTCTCATCAAGATTATCAAAATCAGCTGCCATTCTCTTTGAAATAAATCCGTGATGATGATGAATGTGATTTGTGTTTACTGTTGCTCCCACTCCCAGTAATGACAATTCCTTTTCTTCTCCGATCGAACATTTTGCAAAATATTCTCCTTCACCAACTCCGAAGTCGCTTTGTTGTGATTGTTGTGCAGGAAATTGATGATGGTAATCATCATCATCGATAAGGATTGCCTTCATCAAGCTTGGTGGTTCAAACATGAGTTTCTCTCGATATCGTTCAAGTCTCTTTGGAGAAAACATTTTTTTTATTTTTAGAAGTGTTTTGTGTTCAAACTTCGTTCAAATCAACTTTTCAGCGTTCAACCTTGAAAATACATCTGTTCCTTTATTTGTTCGAAACTTTTTCAATGCTGACATTTTGTCTGGTGTGGGTGCCCAGCACTTTTTCAAAGAGGGATGGAAGAGAGCAAGTCGATTGTTGGGCTGGATCTGCATGGTTACTCTTTTTACTGTTGGAGCAGTCATTGACCTTCATGTCAGAGCTTGATCGAAGAGTTGCCTTAATATTCATGCTACGCTCCAGTAATTGCTGTTGTTGTTCTTGGAGAAGCTGTTGTTCCAGTAACTTCTTTTGTCTTTTAGCTCTCTTTTCTTTTTTTGCTTGTTGCAGTTCTTGAGTTACAGATCGAAAGGGTTGTACTGGTAAATTGATTTCTGGTGATGAGGGTGGAGGTGTGACAATGATTGGTAGGGAGGGACTGCCGAAATTATCAGAGTTTACCTTCTTCATTGGCAATCCAAGTGGTGAATTTGAGTTTGGACATGATTGAGAACGCAAACGTTGACTCTTCTCAAGTTTACCATAATCGTCGTACAAGTCATCTGTGTCTACAACTGGTTGTGTTGAAACTGTATGGTTATTCTTTTTGGCATAGTACTTGAGAAAGAGAGGCTGTGGAGGTGAATTTGTGACCGAAGAAGAGGTCGAAGATTCACTATCAGAACTGTCTCGCCCCAGCGATGATTTTTGTGAATTATTCGAATTCAAAGACCCATGCTTTTTTCGTCGTCGTTGAGGAATTTCTACACTTTCGGAACGAGAAATCCATGTCAAGTCGGTCGTTGAAGAATCAGCAACACCTTTCGTTTTACCACTCTGTTCGCTCATGATCAATGACGAGAATGAAACTGAAGAGTGTAACATGGAAGCCGAATCAATCCTGCAAGGCGAGTATGGATCAGAGTTAATATATGTATTGAGGCTACTCTTACTTCGTTCACATCTCTCAGTATTCGAACAAGAATAAGAAGAAGAATTGGATCTCGATCTCAAAGATTGTTCAAGGAGTGAGTTCCGTCGTTTTGAATGTGTGGACGAGGGATCGACCGTAGAAGTGAATAACGTCGATTCTGACTCTCCCTTACTCAACATGACGACTGCTTTTGGTTTGTTGTGCACGTTTCGGGACGGTAGCTTGCTATTGTTACTGCAATGATGATGATTGTGGGTTTCGAGCCAAATAGGGATCGGCTTGGATGCGTGGGTGGAAGGATTGCTTCCTAAGAGTGTGGTTGCTCGTTGTAAGGCTTCCTCCTTCTCAAGAGAGGTTGATGGTGATACATCTGGAGAGTGGTTGGAAGAGTGCAGCTGAATCTTTCCTTCATTTGTTAGGGTGGGAACAGAATTAATGCCTCCCATGTTCTTGAGTGTTTATGTATGAAGAAATAATCAGCGTATCTGTACAGAATGGATGATGATGATAAACAATAAATATTTGGAGTTAAAATACAGTAAGGAAAAAGCACCGGTGTTTGAGGTGGAAAGAACTGTTGTTTAAATGCCTTAGTGGCTGTTCAAAGGATGATGATAAGAAAACCATTACGCATATATAGGAGGAACGCGTGTTCAAGGACGATGATGCTGCGTGTTGTTGATTTTGTTTTGGGCACACTTTCAATCACCTTCGCAAGCGAGAGAGAGTGGGTTGTTGTTTTTTGAAATCTCTTTTTGCGAGTGTTTGTGCCGGGATGTCTCTCTCAAAGTCTTGGAATGGAAATTGAAATGACAGACAGCAAGGTTACCATCACTATTGAGCGCTGATAAGAGAGGTTAATATGGAATAAGAATTAAGAAGGGTCTTCTATCAGAGCCTCAATCAATACACCCAACAGTTCCGGATCACGCATGGCGAGCTGATGGCGGAAATATCTGCAATAAAAGGGCTTTAATTTTTTCTGCTTTTGGACATTGTGGAAACCGTTTAAGGAAATGAAGAGGAAAATGCAGACGTAATTTCATCGATCAACCCATTAGTGCGAGTGTGTGACACCAAATAATACCGTCATGTTATTGAAACTAAAGAGAGTCCTGGGTTAAACAATAATTATGTTCTGAATTTCATATTTGATGTAGCGTGTCACGCCGAGTGCAATGTCAGAGTAAACATAACTTGGATAGATCTTATCAAACGCCACCACTACGTCATTATTGCCAGTCTCTTCATTCTTTTTCAATTCAACATTAAAACCGATGGAGCTAGCGCCCAAAGTTTGTCTAACCAAATCATTAAATTTGATAATAGACTGGACCAAATTTTGATTGCTGATATCAACAACCTCCAGATTACTTGGAAGTGTTAACTTTCTAGTGAAGGGATTGAAATTCACATTAGGTTTCGATTCTTGTGGAGATTCGTTCTTCGCCGAGTTCATAGCAGTCGTTGGGTTTAAAGAAGCCAACAGGTTCAAAATTGAGCCAGCGGTAATATTAGTAATGTTGGCAATATTAGAAAGGCTAAGTGAAGATGATTTGGTAATTGCAGCTGCTGAATTTGCAATAGTTTTACCAATTTCCAGACCAACATGCACCAATAAACTTGGTAACCAAAAGAATGGTAAATTCTTATCTCGGTAAAAAATAATACGTCCTTCAATTGCTGACTCTAGGGAGCTCGTAAGTGAGTACTTGGAAATAAATTGTCCCTCATGCAAAATATTGGGATCTATATCTTGAATATATGATAAATAGCCCTCATAAAATCGTATGATGTGGCTGACAGGATCGAAATTTACCTGTTCTGATTTCCAGTCGTTGACATAGTGGAAAGTAGCAGTAAAATTGTCAATACTAGATTTGCTGAAAATATAACTATATACAGATGTTACGTCATCAGCACCTGCTTGCCATTCCTCGCAACGCTTCTCAAGCTCTGCGTTCCACCATGGCTCTTTTGTGACAGGTTTCGTATTTCTGTCCATGTCGTAAACATCATTTGACGACTGATAATTCAAATATGCCTCCTTTCGCTTGTGTGCTTTTCTGTACTTTTTCATGGTTTGCATAGCATGTGTTCTAACTTTTGAGAGAGTTTCAATTTTAGCAATGACCGATTTTGCATTTCTAATTTGATCTAACAATTTGATCGTATCTTCGTATGGAGTATCGCTTGTTTGTTTATATTCATAGAATACTAGATTCATGTCTGAGGGTGGTAATGGTGCAAATTCTGGTGCTACCCCAAACATTGATATTGTACAACCTTGAAGAGATCTAACCTTCTGATTCATAAGTAAATCGCTATCACGATAGTGATAGTTGTAAAGTTCAAATAACGTTGAAAACTATGTCATTTAAATGGTGTGAAAACAAGTGTGAAGGTTACATGATAAGAAAGGGGTCAATTCTAAATCGTTTCTACAACATACCAATTTTTCATGGACAGTATTTGATATCAAGTTTCTACAAATGGGATAAAACTCCTTTTCAATATCTACTAACAGTTGCTCTGAATTTGCAACATCTGCAGTTAGGGCTACTGAGAAGACATCTCTTACAAAAAAGTCCCACAGTACTTTGTCACATAAAAACATGATAAAGCTCTTGGTGTCATCAATTGCATGATAGAGGAGAGTAGCTTGATGCTTTCCAGAGACCGATTTCGAGTTCGATCCAATATAATAGCTTCCACAAAATATGCTCACAAAGAATGCAATAAAATTGGAAACAAACTTAAAACTAGGATCTGAAGTAGAGGCAGAAATATCAGAAAAAGTTCCTGTCAATAACTGAGTAAGAATAGATGTGAAGGCCTTCCTTAATCTATCAAACTGTGCAGGCACTGAAGATATTCCCATTAGCTCATATCTGGTAGAGTTTTGCTAACCAGTTTCTTGGAGAGAGCATAGCGTTCTTTTTTCCAATCATCCCTAAAAAGTACAAGATATTGAGTCCACTTTAAATCCGATGCTGGTTTTACACATTCAGGGTCGTACATGCTCATAGCCAACTCATCCATATGTCCCATATTCTCGTATAATTTCATGGACTCTTGAATTTGGAATTGAAGCATATGAAGATTTGTTAATTGAACATTTTTACATGTTCCCTTATAATAGGTACAGCCTTCGACTTTGCTGTCGCCATACCAAAAACCTTCAATGATGTCTCCATTAGGTAGATAAAGTTTTCCTTTACCTTTTCTTTGACCCTTCTTGTACATTCCTTGGAAGTATGTTCCATCTCTATAATGATAAGTTCCAAAATAATGATACATGTCATGCTTCCATCCTCCGCAATATCTTTCTGCAATAGTAGGATAAATTTCAACCCCGAATCCATATTTTTGATTGTGTTTAAATGAACCAAAGTACTTGGTGTTGGTTTTGCTGCAATATAGCTCTCCTTCTTGTGTTCTCTCAAAATCTTAAGGTACAAAGTTGTTGAAACATTCATTTTCATGTGGTAAATATCTCAAATTGATGTCATGAATTACGTACCATCAAGAGTGTACATGATTTTTCCTACACTTTTGGTTTTCAATTTTACGTATCCCCAATATTCCATTTCCTCTCCATCGTATGAAATTTTCCAAGGTAATTCGCTTGAAGGTACGTCATTGTTCCATTGACCAATTGCAATTGTTGGTGGCTTCTTTGGAATTGTAGATGGAAAAATAATTTTTCCGAAACCGTGTTTTTTTCCTTTGTCGAAATCTCCTTCATAAATGGTCTTATTGGGATACAATAATTCGCCCCTGCCATGCATTTCGTTTGTGCTCGCTAAAACAGTTCCTTGGTAGTGGTACTCTTTACCTTCTTCATCTGTAAACTTGAAAGATTTGTAGATAGGGGATTCATTTTGTGAAGCTGCAAATTTGTTTGGTGTTTTTGCAATATTCAGTACATTTGTTGTGGTTGGTGTTTTAGTGAGTGTTGGTGAAGCTTTTTCCAATGGTGTTTGTTGGTGTGATGAATCTACACTCTTTGTTCGTTTATGTTTAAGAGGCACTGGTAATTGCAGAGACGACGTCATAGATCCACTATTTGATAATAAAGGTGATGAATTGGGCAATTCTTCTGAAGCCTGGTTGTTATACGCAGAGCCATGAATTTTTGGTGTATGATTCTTTGTCACGCCGACAGAACTATGATCCAAAGATGCTCTTGGCACAACTGGCTCAATTTCGAGTCTTGAGGATGCTGAGCTTGATTGTGTCTCATCTAAACTTAGTCTTCGTTCTCCACTTTCTACCATCATTACGCTTGAGGTATTGGGAGAAGCCAAGTGGTCATCCATAAATTGATCCAACATTGACGCCAAGCTTCTGGCGCTCATAGGAGTGGCAGGAGATATTACAGAGGCTAAAGCCTCTTTGGACGAAGTTCTAGAGGTTACTGTTAATCCCGAAAGAGATGATGTGCCTGGTAATTGTCGTTGTACAGATGCGCCAGCTGATGAATTTTGCTCGGGAGAGTATGTTGTTGAAGTATGATCGACTCTTAGAACTGGCGTGCTGATATCATGGTTCACATTTTCATTGCTACTGTTGGGAGCTGTGCCACTTGGTGTTTGTGATTCCTCATCATCACTATCACTTTCTGCCACAAAAGCCTCCAACAAATCTGGGCTAGTTGGAGCTATTCCAACCAGTTCCGGCACGTTCAAGTTACTAACGGTACTGTTGATGGTTTGATTGTTTCCGAGGCTTTGATCCTCTTCTCCCATGGAGAGCGATTCCAATAACTTGCCATTGCTGTCCAACAAACTGGATAATGATGAATTTCTGTGATGATGAGCTGATAAATGAAGCATAGAAGCTCCCCTTTCCGTGAGCAAAATGTGGGCAGCAGTGGGTGATTCCTTTTGTTGTTGTGAACTAGTGAGTGCAAGAGAAATTCTTCGTTGCAAATCGCTGGGTGTTGTAGCAGTGGTCGGAGTGCTGGTATAGGATTTAGCATTCGTGGTAGAGATTGTTGGTGGTAGTTGATGAAGAGAGGATGTTGATTGTTGTGATGGAAGAGGTGTTGTTGTTCTAGGTGAAAAGGGAGAAGTGGTTTTGTTGTTGCTGTTATTGTTATTATTATTGTTATTATTATTGAATGTTTTTATGTTGGTGCTGTTGGTTGGAGAGTCTGTATTCCGAGAGGGTGATGAAGTATTTGGAGAAGAGAAATCATCATCATGTAGGTCTTTCATGGCGAAATGTTCTAGATCTTTCTTGTTATCGGCTGTGCTGCCGAAAAATTTCTTGAGCATATTTGGTGATGATGCTGATAAAATTGTTTTCTCCTTCAACGGGAGAGAAGTGGATGCGTATTTTACAAATTCAGTTGAATGAGCTAGTCTAAATTGTTGATGATGAAATTAAGTTTCCGATGAGCAAATGACGAGAGCGAAGAGCAGTTTTTTTTTGATTTTGAAAATTGTGATGGGGGTTTTAATTTTTCACGTTACTCGAGCATTTGATCCTTCATGTCATTCGCTTCCTTTTGCAGAAGGTTATCAGGTAATTCTTCCTTATCTTCCTTTTCGAAAGTATCTTTAAAATATTCGAACGAGTCACCAGTAGTGCGTGTAAATACTTCAGGCTTATTTTCCTGCTCTTCCTTAATCTTGGATATAATTTGATCCTTAACACTGCTCTCCTCTTCAGGCTGGCTGTGCAGCAATGGAGATAAAATTGGTGTTTCTAGCTGCTTCTCTACCTCGGTTGTGCTCAGAATATTTGTGAAAAGGCCATCTTCACCTTGTTGCCCAGTGTTTTCAGAAAAGCATTCAATATCGAAAGGAACTAACACCAAGGGCGTTTGTATATTAAAGGGAGAAGTTTCATTCACACTATGATTCTGTACAATGGGATCAACACTTTCAGCGTCTTGGTGAGATGAGATTTCTGGTGAAATATACATTTCTTGCTCTTTTGATATCGATTCATTAACGCAGCCAGAAGAACAATTCAGTTCATTGGGTTCTTCGAAATTCTGATTTTCTGTTTGTTCATCCTGATTTGATTTAGCCTCACTGACGGTTTGATTCGTATAGAGATGAAGAAGTTGCCACACTCCTCTAGAGACGTACTGGTTATTAAGATTATCATTGCAAATTAGTACTGCTTTCACCTTGGGAACCTCAGGTTGGAATGGCCATCTTTCTATATTCTTTTGCTGCTCAAACTCACATACTGCCGTTTGTCCATGAACGGATCCAAAATTTAGAATGGACTGCTCGATATCCATGTCACATGATATATATTGTGAAGGAGGGAACTCCTGGCGTTTCATGGAAAAAAAGGATTTGTGGGTATTGACTTTTTCAAAGGCATGCTCAATTGATTGTAAGAGGTCATCAACTTTGGTTGGAAACCGAGATATCCTTTCGACTCGTCCTTTGATCATGATCGATTCGTGGGAGACTACTGAAAAATATGATTTCTTGCATTGAAAATCAATGGACAGTAGTACGTTGAGATGAAGCGATTCCTTAGGCAAACGGTTTTCGTTCTGAAGAAACTCTCTGCAAATCATGTGATCAAGCTGGTTCATGTCAGCCAATACTCCTGAATATAGATAAAAACCAGATGTCATCAATTCCTGAACATTGGTACATTCATTTTCTTGAATTTCCTCCTCAACTGACTTGCTTAATAAATCGTTTATACCTCCTCCAATGACAGTTGCATTCTTTAGCGGCTCTTCGGTGTATATTGTAGTTTTTCGTTCTTGGTTTCTTGTACTATGCTGTGACTTGATGAATTTGAAAAAGGGTTTGAAATGCTGTCCCTTTGATTTGCATTCCAACTTTTCTGCTAGCTCTTTTCTTTTGTCTTTGTTATGCTCAAAGCTTCGTTCGGAGGGATCCAACACGTGATTTGAGGAAACAACACCCTTGCTCTCTCCTAAATCAAAGCTCACTACATAATCGGAAGGACGAGATTTAGATTTCGGCCTGTTATGAGGATTGGAAAGGAAGGAAGAAGCCCATAACGTTCTATGTTGGTTTTGAATTGCCTGAGACGCTGTACCAGTGATGAATTCTCGTTTCATATATGCACTATGCTCTGATGATTTTGGGGCAATGACTCTCTCAACTTCCTGGATCAAGGGCTTTTCCATTGATATACTCAGTGCCCTTAACTTGTCAAGCCTCTCTGAAGGTAACAGTGATTCTTTCTTATTCTGGTAAGGTGATGAAGTTTCCTCCAAATTGAAATTAAATTTTCGATTCATATTCTTTTTCCTTGCTTCCTTGGTATTGGAAGGAGAAGGAGGTGGGGTTCCGTTCCCAACAAAATTTGAGGCAACCACTCTTCTTAATAGGGCATCTCCTTCTTCTTGATGCTCATGATGAACGGAAAGGGTTTGCTCGTGGAATGATGATGCAGAGAGCATTTTTATTAAGGTGCATCGTGTATGTGCGTCCATGAAGACGATCCATTATTGAATTCCATCGGGAGTAACGTAGAAGCGATACATGGAATGAGGTTAGACCTCCTCTTCATCAGTCATCTTGTGATAATGTATGGGAGTCATTTCAATCTTATTATGAGCTTCCTCTTGCTGTTCCTTCTCCTTTGCCTCTCGATTTTCGTTGCGTTTGGAAACACAATGAACCAAAGCAACCGCAATGATTAATAGTACAATGCCAAATACGACAATACCAAACAGGACCAGAAATGCAATGGTTCCTCCTCGCAATGCAAATTGAGAAATGGTTACGGTCAATCCAAATTCAAGACGGGACGATGATGATTCATCTTCATTCGCCACCAATAAATAGGCGGTGGAGAGAGCGGAAGTGGCTCCGTTGATATTCGGAGCATTCCATCGGAAGGCAGAGTGCTTGTGTCTGAGATGGCTCAAAAACATTCGGTGTGGTATTGGTGGTTGATGACCAATCCATAAGGAACAATTTCTGGAGTGGTTGTTGGATTTGAGAACAATATCGAGAGAATATATAATTTCGCTCGTGCTGGAATTCAGATGGATGATGTAGAGCCTCGATTCATTTCCGCTTAGAATGGAAGTAAACGTATACTCATGATTAAGAGTGAAGTCAAAGGCATGCACGATTTGTTGTTCTTTCCGTTCATTCGGAGATGATTCCGTCGTGCTGAAAGGAAGTCTACTGCTGCCTGTACTACTTTCTTGAAGAGGTGCTGGCAAATTCAGAGCCCGTAACTCCTCTCCGCCATCATCAGCAAGCTACAAATCACAACGATCGTATACACAACACAGCCCCAATGCTTCTTTTTCAACCAGTGTTCATGCCATATTAAGGAAAGCATTTTTTCTTTTCAGCAAAAACCAATTTCTCGGAACAAAATGAAAAACGTCTTACAAAGAACTGTTATTTTCAAATCTTTGACATCTATAGAATCAATTAGAGTTGTTCAGATGACGATACATTGGTGATTGTCTGAGCACCGTTGATCGTTGTTGTGGAAGGTTGATGATGGGATGGTCTTCGAGTTTTGGTTCCTGCTGACATGGCTCTTCGTTTTTGCTGTAACGGCATTCCTCCAACCATACCTTTTCCATATGTTGGTAGAACGGTGAGAGGTCGTGCAGAGGCACCAGAAGTGGATGGATTGGTAATACTGCTTGCGTTCGACTGAGAAACTGCCTTCTTGAATTGTTGAAGTTGTTGTTGGACAATATTCGTTGTTGAGTTCTGAGAGTTGAGATTATTATTCGCCTTGACTCGTGCCACTCCTGTGGAAGGTCTCTTTTTTGGTGCATTTTCAATGAGAAACATGGCTGCAGGAGTGTCTCCTTCAGAAATGGGTCTCAACAGAGTGGAGGGAGAGGCTGTCTTTCTTCCAGAGCTTGGAGGTGAAGGAGTGGTTCGAACAACCGCATTGTGGCCATCCAAATTCACAATGGGTGGATTTTCTAATTCAGAATCCACATTCGGCTCTGTGAAAGAAGTCTTTGTCTCGAGCATGATTTTGAGAGAGGCATTTTCTTTTTGAGCTTGTTGCAATTCATTCATGGCTTGATAGTATTTTGCTTGCCATGACGAGTCGTCACTTGGAACATAATTCTCTTTCATGCTTTCCAATTGTTCCATGATTTTGGATTTCATGGCTTGCTCTTTTGCTAACTTCTTTTTAAGAGTTTCGATGGTTTTTTGATTTTTAAAATCGATGGCATTTGTTTTCTCTTTCATACGTTCCTTTATCTTTTCATAATGTCCTGCTTCTCGTTTCTTTTCTTCGAGCTCGAGTAAAAGTTTGTCTACATTGGTGTGGCTCCATCTTTCGTATTTTTCAACTTTTTCCTCCAGTTCTTCCAATAGTTGAGCGTTTTTGACTTTCCAATGCACTAATTTTTGTTTGTTCTTGATTTGAAGCTGAAGATCCTTTCGTAATTGCTCAACTTCCATTTCTGCATTACTGAGTTGTTGCTGTGTTTTCAATAATTCTTGTCTCAATTGATTTTCTCTAAGTCCTACTTCATATTTACTTGCATAGAAATCCTTGAGAGCTTCGTCTCGCTTTTTCTCTGCTTCTAAAATTAATTTTTCATACTTTGATTGGAGAGTGATGAGCCGAATCTTGTACAGGGACTGCAATTGTGTATGCTGAACTTTGAGATCTTCATTCTCTCGTCTGAACTTGTTCAATTCGCTATCTTCCATAGCAACTTCAAGAGCCTTCTTTTTGAAGGAGGCATCTCCAATATCTTTCTGAGTGGCAATTTCGAAAAATGTGTTCTCTCGCACTTCATAAAATCGTTGATCAAGATTTTGGAGAAAATCTTTTTTGAATTTTGCAACTTTTCCATTTGTTGAAACAAGCTCCTTGTACAAGTTTCGAACAAGGTCTTCATATTCATGAACTAATTCGCTTCGAACATGGGATTTTACCTCCTTAAGTTGATGTTCTAGTTCCTTATTTTTCCACAATATATTATTCACCAGGAACACCAAATCATAATTTTTGTCATCCACTTCGGCGTCAATTCTGCGTTTTAACGACTTTCTGTCCACGTCTCTCTTGTAGAGTAAAAACTTGACTTTTTGCTCTGACGTAAATAGACTTCGTTTCAAATGATCAATGACTTCGGATGACTTGTACTCTAAAAATCGAATGTACTCAGTCTTCCAATCTTGAATTTTCTGACCAACTTCCTCTAATGCTTTCTCTAGATCTTTTTCGTTAATAGTTATTTGAGTTTCCTCGTTCTTGGAGCTGGTTTTTCCTCCATTTCTCAAAAGTATGTCCAAAAAGGAATGAAATATTTGTACCTTTGAATCTTCGAATGAATCGCTATCAATATTCGATGATGGTTCTTCCATTTTCTGAAGCTCTTTTTTGAGTATTGCATATGTTTCTTTCATTTCTTGGATAGATTTGGAAATGAGAAGCTTGGATATTTCTTGAAACAATATAGACACTTGTTTGTCCCTAAGATCTTTTTCTTTTTTCTTCTTTGCCTTTTGTTGAATGGCCATATCATAGATGTCATTTGTTGATTTTTGTTCCAATGTCGAAATGAGTCCTTTCAACTGTTTCTCATAAATTCGTTTTGCCTTTTTAAAAATAATGTGGTTGTACAAGTCTTCCATTTTTGCCTCATCCTGCAACATTAATTTTGATCCGTTGCAACTAAGATCTAAAAAGTAATCCCTCAGCTTGTACATCAACACGGAAGTCTTCAAGAAGTCTAATTGCATCTTCACAGCTTGCTCAGGCATGCTGTTAGGGTAAACTTTTTCTTCTGTCAACAACTCTTCCATGTATAAAGTGACGTTTGCATCTTCGGCAGAAAAGTAATTTCTCTCAGAGTCATGTAGCTCTAACAGTAGATTGTTTAAACATTTGAGAGGTAAAATATATTGGTGGCTTGCGTCGAGTCCTGTGTACTTTTCTCGTTTTTCTTCGTCAAGATGCCTTGGAGAGATAACATACAAATCAGCTTCTGATAGGTTTTCTTCCGTGGGCTCATGGATAATACTTTGTAAATAATTCTCGGCAATCATGCTTGATTTCATTCCTTCTTTTCGTAATTTGTGTTTCAAGTTGTCCAATACGAGAAGGTATTTCAAAAAAAGAGTTTCACATTTTGATGTCAAATAATTGACAACTGTGGAAGGGTTTTCTGGCTGTCTCAAGTGTTCAAGCTCCGATGTTAATGACTTGCAATTGGTTTCTAACGCCTTTTCCAAACCATATCCTTCATTGATGATTATATCATAGAGTTTTGCAGTAGCTTGAATACTGATAGTCCAAAATTTCAGAATGACGAATGTTCGTTGTAGTATCTGCAACAAGTTATAAAAATTCTCAGTTGTTGTGTTCTCTTCTTCATTGGCCTGAATGAAAGAGGTTCTCATTATTTGAACAAAGTGAGGAACATAGGTTACATTCACAACCTCACCATCTTTTGCTAGCACGCATTTGTTTGCATGGTCATCCTTATTCTTTGAGACTACTCCATGTGATGAAATTTGAACGTTATGATCGGGCTTACCAATCAAAAATCCACTATCAGCTGAAACAGATCCTAGTGTCGCTCTAAGCTCACGTATAACGTCTACAATATCACATTTTAAAATATAGGGCTGAATGGCTGACAACATGGAAGTACAAAAACTGGCAGAAAGCCTGAACTTGAGATCTCTAAGGTATTTTCTAACAACATTCGCTCGCTTACTTTTGATAATACCTTCGGATAACTTTTGATACTCCTTTAGGATTCTCTGACGTATGGGTATTTTCATGTTGTTGAACGTAAGGAATAACTCTTGAAGAACCTCCTTTGTGATATACTGAGCTGTATCATTTTGAGTATTCATTGACGTCACAAAAAATTCTTTCTTTTCTTGGGCTACGTAGAAATCGTCGAGAGGTGTTTGATTATATTTTACAGCTGTTTCATAAAGAATTTTTTGCAGCATTTGATACTGATACACATGCCTTAGCTCGAACAGTCCAACAAGCCCAACCAACCGTTTGATACCATCAAAAGAGTTGAAATTAACTTCTGCCATTGAGCTATCAAATTCGACAATGGCCAAGTTGGTGAGGTATTGTGTTTTCATTTCAGGAAATAGGTGCTGGGAGTCATTAAATACATCCTTGGTGTCAAAGTTTAGTGGGCCAAGGGCTGAGCTCATGGATTGTTGTGCTGTACCAACGAGGGTGGCTTGTGAGTTAAAGATTGCTGTGAGAATATCTGTTTCCAAGAGTTCTTTTGTTAAATGTTTCCACATGGTGACCATTTCAACTAAATTCGAAAAGTATTGTAGAGGAATGGAGTCTTTTTCTGCCATGGAGAAACCCCCTTCCGTGTCTCTAGTCACCACATTTTCTTGGTCATCGGTATGCTTTGGCATTTTCTCTGTGTCTATTACAGTATTCAACAAAAATATCAACTCATTTGGATCTTCTAAAATGTTGGTGTCTTCAATGGCAGATCGCTCTTCTGATAATTTGCTTTTAATTGCCTTTTGGATCTTTTCTTCCTTAGCAATTAGTTTCCATTCAACTATGAGTTGTTGCAAAACAGATCTTCTCACCGCATTCAAAGAAAGCACATTCTTAAATTTAAATGAGCTAGTAATGTTGTGAACAGCTTTCTCCAAATGATCATGAATTCGACCAATTATGCTTGTTGATGTATAAAAGTCGAGAAATCCCACTTTAGATGATCCAGGGAAGAGCTCTGCTTGTGCAAAGTTATCCAAAGTTATGTTGTCAGGAAACCCACTTCTGTCGGTTGTTGGGTCAATCGCTTCATATATAAATGAAAGATAATCTTTTTCATCCCTAATTTGCTCCTTGAGAATATCTTTCAATAAACTATGATACAATTCCAAGCAAATAATTTCTGAAGCATAACTTTCGGAAAAATAGTGACTCTCTAAATTGAACTTTGGAGTGGTTTTCATAATTTGCATGATTGCGCTAGCCAAACGTAATTGTTCCTTAGGTTCGTAACAGTGTTCATAAGCTTCCATATAGCAATCGATGACTTTACGTTTAGAGTCTTGGAACCATGTTTCACTTTCAAGTAAACCCTCCAAAACCACGAATCTGTCCACTTGCAGTTTTGGAAATGATGCTAGGTTTTTCTCAATAAAGTATGACCCAATTTTGAGCAGGCGTTCTTCTAGCGCCTCATAATCTTTGAGAGCAGCGTCATACATGATTTTCAGTCCATTTGCATCTCTAACTACTACATCTCGTTTCAAATGAAGCGAGTATTTATCGTCTCTGAAGGTGGCATTGAGAGGAAGAGAGTCGGTGGAAGCAAGTTTCTCTAAATCATCAGAAGAAACAAAAAATTTTCTAATAAAACTCGAGCTTGCGTTTTCTGTTGTTGTCAAATATCCAATGTGGTCAAAATAGAGCCGTTTCTCAATGGACCTAAAGTAATTCAGAATGTCTAACAATTTTCTTTTAAATTCACGAACTCGTATGAATCTGAGAAGGTATAGAGCTGCTACTTTGTTGTGGATCGCTTTTCCCTCTACATTGTGATCTTCTTCATTGGTATGAGGTAATTTTCGTTCGGCTATATATCCTTCTTCAAGATATGTCTGAACTTCATCCTCTACTCTTGCTCGTTTGAAATGAGAATCTGCTTGATCTTTAAGTCGTTTCCTTGCATACTGTAATTCTGTGGTATGTAAGAATCCGGCTTCTATCTGAAGTTGTGGATCAATTCTCAAATCATTGGTCATCAATATCGTTTGCCTTTGCTCAAACGCTTCCACTGGAGGGAAAAAAAGTTTAGAAGACTTGTAATTCGAGTCGTTGGTCCATGTAGACTCTTTCAAATAAGTGAAAGTATCTGAGGCCAAATCAGCTTTCTTTTCAACTCCAGAACCACTATTGTCATTATTTACATTTTCCTTGTAAGGATAGGGTAATACTTTCAGCTTTGCTGATTGAGCCTTAAATATTGCATCAAACTTGTTTCTGACAAGATATAAAAATTCTTGACCTGTCTCTTCCGAGGGAAGTTTTTTCATTTCAACACAATCTTTAAGTGTTTCCAGCTGCTCTTCAATCTCTGATTTAACGACAGAAATTCCAGGAGCTCTCGCATCCGTCTGTACATTTGGAATGTCAAATGCTTTTTTGAATAATGTTCTTCTCTCAGAGTATGGCAGCCATTTGGATTTTAACAAAAATTGATCGACCTTTCTTCTCGCCCGAGCATCATAGAGCTGTTTTCGGATAATTGTCTGAAGATCAGTCACTTTGATAATGTTCTTTGAATGACTAGTTCTTATTTCTGCGGATATTTCTTTTAGTCTCGAACAAGAATATTCATATTCCTTCTGAATTCTTGTTAATTTTGATTGAAGCATTGGTTCTGCTCTGACAATCATGTCAGAACGATCAGAAAACTTTTGCCATCTTGTAATGACTTTGTAATACTGTAATTTTTGTGTTTCTTTCCAGTACTTGTAAAAGGACAAGACAAAATTCTCCATATATGTCTTGGTATTCTTCTTTTCCAAACAAAAATTCAATTGTTTTTCTGCTGAAATATGAGATGGTTCTCTGAATGAAACTGTTGGTAATTTTTCTAGTTGTATCAGAGTTTGGTTTCTCTCTTTACGGTAGTCAAGATAAGACTTTCTTTGTAAATCCGATGATTTTGAGCTAAAATTGTACGAAGAAGCTGCTGGTGATGTTAAAATTGATGATTTAGCATTGAGAACTTCATCTCGCTTCTTTTCTACTTTTTCCAATTCCAATTCCATCAGAATTTCAGCCAGAGTAGCGTTTCCCAATATCGACCTCTCGTATTGTTGTTTTTCATATTGTTGTTGTTCGTTTGTTGCTGTCACCGAAGGTGTGCCTTGTTTTTTTGTTTCAGTTTCATCATCCTCTTCTTCGTCTCCCTCTTCATCATCCTCCAAAACTTGGGGTGGAGTTGGTGTTGGATCTGCCAGAGGTTTGAACGGCACAAGAAGAGGTTGGTCGCGAAGTGAATTGAATTGCGGATATTTTTTCTGCAAATCTTTCAAAACAATTAATTTCTTTTTTTCCAATTCGTGCTCTTCGTCAATGAAGGTGTCCGTATTTTCATCCTGCAGCTCACCAAGTTCTGTGAGAATTTGCGATGACAATTTGTTGCCTGAAAGGGTTTTTTCAATGTTAGATACTTTTGAATCCAATGATACGTCATAGTAGGGTTGTCTGGTGTTTTCTTCGTTCGACAAGGTTTCAATTTCTTGTTCGATAATGTCCATCTCTGACGAGACAGACAAGGCAGAAGATGCATCCACAAATTGAACTACTCCTCGATTATTCGTTTGAGTTCTCGGACTGTTCCAATTGTCAGCGTTTGAATTGGGCGTTTCTTGAGTGGTACCCTCACGAGGAGTGATCTCTCTTTGATTCGAATTTTGTACATTGCTTCTCGGAGTTTGAGGTTTTCTTGAGGCAGCACCTGCTGTTTTCGCCCGTTGTCGAGCCGTCGCAGGAATCATGTTGCTTGCTGCTGATGATGTTTGCTCATGTTGCGTTCGAAATCCAGCTTTGGCTGAAATGGGCTTTAATCGTTGCTGCTGAGGTTGCATGTATTTTTATTTTAAAAAAAATTGTATTCAAAAAAGGCGGTTAAATTTTTTCAATTCATCAGGCTGGTTTCAGATCGTACTGGATTTGCTGTTCAGACATTTACAAATTTAAAGCCAAAAAATCTGGGTGTAACATCCAAACCACGCGTTCAGGCACCTTCAATGGCCAACCCAAAAAAGCTCCCTTAGGGCCCTGGCAAAAAAATGAGTCAAAACCGAACGTCTTTGTATTACCAAAAAGCCAAAGATATTTTGCAATTTGATTTGCGTGGTTGTCTGGAAAATTGTACAAAGCAAAGATGGAGCGAGTATCAGCAAGAACTATTTGGTTCCGATTTGGCTAATGATGATGATGAAAAAAGAATTGAAAAATATGTGGAAGATCAATATTCCAATGATTGTGGATTGGCTAAACAATGGATCAAGAATGATCTAAAACAAAAACGAAAGAAATTGAGAGATTCCACTTGTCGTAATGATCAGAACGAACTTGATCTGTCGTGGCTCTCCAAATTGGATGAAAATGTAAAATTTGATATTTTAGAATTCATTCCAACCTATTCCAAGTGGAACGTCTTCAAAGAAGATCATGTCTATCAAATCTATCTCAGAAATATTAAATTTCCAAAACGTGAACGACCAGAAAACAATCCACATGAATATTTTATGGATATTCCGTTCATCACATTCCACAAAATGCGTCTCATTTGCAAACGATTCAATACAAGAATGATGAGAAGAATTTTACAAACCACAGAACTGACACTATTTGAACTGAGCAACACTACTTTACCCTATTTTGCAACCTTTTTAAGAATGCAACGACTTTTCAAAGAGAATAATGACAAACTACCCACTGATAGCATTTACTTGTATCAAGACGTGAATATGCTTAGCTGTTACAACCACAATCGTAACTTGAAAAAAGATCTTGTTCTAGAACTTAAACACGAAAGTGAGCAAGAGAAAACTCAAAGTTTAAGTAATAATTCTCAGCAACAATGGTCACTTCAAATGATTCCTCCAACAACTTCCAAAACCCAATCAACAGGTTTTGTTTTCCCATCAACACCCTTTTCATTTCAAATTTCCAAAAGTGAGTCCAATAATTACTTGACCAATGTTGTGAAGGATCTGACCTCTCCACAAAACGGACTTTTTACACCACTGCAAGCTGACAATGTGCCTAAGCAGTCTTTTTGGTCGAACTTTCGGAATCCAGCAGAAATCAAAGCTCCGAAAAAGCCTTCTCCACAGGTCGATGGTTTTGAGCATCAGACTCACACTCCAATTAAGGAACAAGATCTCATGGAACCTGCTTATGAAATTAAGCCACACAAGGATCTATCGTATTTGGTCGAATGTTCTTCAAATTCCTCTTTTGATTTTGACCCCTTCTCTGATTCTAGAAAACAATCACTTACCAAACCAAGTACAAACGACTCCTCTACAGACTCGGTTTCTATTTCAGATTTTGTATGCACATCATTTATTGGAAATAATACGACAGTTACAAGTATATTATTATACGCGACAGTTGCAGAAGTCCCGCCTACACTATTTACTTGTTTAAAATCTTTACAGAAAGCCGTTATATGGACTTGTAAAGGTCGTGTCCTTTTATCCAGTCCTTCTGTGAAAGAAGTGGTTATGATCAATTCCATGTCAAATATTGACGATCTCCAAGAAGATTTTCCAAATGTCACAACTTTCACATGCTACAACTTCAAACCAGTGGACACTACTTCTAGCAGATTGCAGAGATTTGCCAATATTATTTCATCCAAAAGAATTAGCCAACTTTTTGATTTTTTCCAAACTCTCGATTCAAGAATTTCCATGAAATTAATGAACATTATTGGCACTACAGTAGCGGACGCTATTGTAATTTCAGAAAAACCTCAAGGGCGATTGAGTTTATACGTATTTATTGAACACCTTGTCAAAGAAAGGGGAGCTGAGTGTGCAATGGAGTTCATGACATTTTTATTGAAAGACCTGCATTTTCCAAGCGAATTGTTAGGAATGTTTTTCCTATCAGCGTTGCAAGTAGTTAACTCAAGAGAGCTGCAATGTGTGACACAATTTACAGTTTATTTATGCAATGAATATCGAGACGGAATATTGTTACAACTACCTATCGAACGACAAACTTTCGGAAGGGAAGTAGAACCCGCATTTTTGCTCTTAATAAGTTATGGATGGAATTGGTGGGCCCAAAACGAGTGTATTTATCTTTGTATTTCATTTTTCAAAGACAAGAGACAAGAACGATGTGTGGAATATTTATTGGAACATGATTACTTACGTTGTTGGGATATAGATCATTTTTATTCACTCATGTTGCATTGTATTGCGGTACAACAACCATTGATTACCGTCCCCATTCTTTCCTATTTGTTGATGCATCGGGAAGAGTTACTCATGAATCTATTGTGCATGCGTGTGAAATGTGAACGACGACAGGAATCGTTTGTTAATTCACAAAAAACCACAACATTACATGTGCCAATGCTTGGATTGTTGTTCCGAATCCGAGTGTATGGTGGATTGGTACTGCAACGAGCTGTTGAAAGAATGCCTCCTGAGCAATTTGAACAACTGGGAGTGACTGAACGAGGTGATACTATTTTGCATATCTTGTTGCATAGTATGAGGGAAAGTCAAGTTATTGTCGTTGATTCGAAAAAACCCCAAATGGTTGCATGTTGAAAATATGAACAAGGAAACTCCTTTAATGTTGATACATCACACAATTTCGTCTAGTTTTTTGAGATTACGTATTGCCGATGAGTTTGGAGAGGAAGCTAAAAAGTTGTTAACCGCATCTTCTGATAAATTTTAATAAAATCATTTTTCTGAAGTTTGAACAAGCTCACATACTCGATTATTCCCTTTCTATTTTCCTTCTATTACCTTCTTTTGGATTGGAACCATTGTTTGTTCGTTTGCGTCCAAACTCTTTTTCAATTCTAAATCTCAAATATGAGTCTTGAATCACCCGTTGCATTAAAGTTAAAGGTGTGTCATTCAAAATATTTTTCGCATGCAACCATTTGGGATTCTTTCGAATGAGTGTGAACAAAAGAGAAACATCCAACGATTCTGCTTTCGTTTGCTCTACAGTCATTAAAAAGATGTGAAGAATGGTTTCTTTGGTTTCTTTCACCACAAGTTGTTTAAATTGTTTCTCGCTCATGCTCTCAAAAATCGTTTGTAATAAGAATCCACCAAACGAGTGACATCTTGAAAATAGTAAGCCAACCAGTGGAATATGATTGCCTGATTCATTAAAGATTTGATCTCTGTGTTTGCAACATAACACTGGCTTGATCAACACATTCAGCAACATTTCTTCATGGTGATGCAAAAAGTGAGACAGAATACAATCAAGAGCAATCTTGCGATTCTGAATGCAACAATGAACCATCCAAGAATACACAAACATTTCCAAATCTGATTCTTTTGTGAATGAACAAAATTTCGAAAGTAAATACTTCAATACAGTATGTTGCTTCTTTTCTGTCAAATATGAACACATCACATAAAATAATTCATCTTTTTGAGTCCAACAATTCCATCCATAACTCAATAAAAGTAACAACACCTCTTCATGATACTCGGCTTCTGCTTTGGGTATGCTCAAAATTCTTCCATTTTGATATTCGTTGCATAAATACACCATGTATTGTAAAATACATTGTACTGCTGGTGTCATGTTATTGCGAATGTCGTTATATCTGTTCCATGAATGACCATCAAAGAACAAGTTCAATTGTTCACAAGGATATCGCAAACTGGCGTTCCCAACTACCACTTCGCTGGTGTAACATTCCTTTATTTGGTTCATTCGGGCTACGTCTCAGTGTTTTTGTTACATTAGCTTTTTGTTGTTCGCCCAGCAAAAGCTGCTTTGTCTTTGTTGAAGGACAAAGGCTTCTGCTGGAGCTATAATGAATAATAAAACGACTTGAGGTATGTTGTTGTGATTAGAAAAATACGGTGTAATTGTGGTCGGAAGAAATAAATAGGTGAACAATTTTAAACGTGTTCCAATTTTTGGACGAACTTTTTTTGTGATGAAAAATGCTTGACATTTTATTGCATGTCTTGAGACGAAGCCACCACCTGGCTCAGCTGGGAATACGAAACGAGGTTTTTTGTTTTCTTTGCAAATACGTAAAAAGGAGGTGACAACAACTGATAATTTCCAACAATCACAGCAATTTGTTTTTGATAAAGCTTGGTGCTGGTTGTTGATGAAAATTGTCCAATTAATTTAAATTTGAATGGATCCGTCTGATTTGGTGCCACAAATATTTTAAATGAGTTAATTGGTTCAGAATGTCGAGATGCATTTTCATTGTTCTCATTGAAATTGCGAACCTCTACGGTTGCATTGCTCAAAGAAATATGATTAGTCTTAATTTCAAATTCTACGGGCTTTTTAAGCAAAAATGCCGCAATATGATTTTGAGCATGAATTAATGAGTCGTGTGTTTGAATAATGGTAAAACTGATGTCGTCGGTTAATGTAAGTCGTTCTGTTAAGTTTGGCAAAACTTCACTTGTTTCAATATGGAAAACAGGAAGTGAAATGTTGTAGTAATTGGAAATGCTTGTCTCCATGAAATCGGTGGCAAATCCGGCCCTATAGTCATGTCTTGACTGATGGTATGATTGACGGATGGAGTTGACACGATGTTGTAAACATCGCAATTGTAAGTCTTTCGCACAAATTAAATCTTGATCTGTAAAACTATAAGAAATGGATGTCACGCTTTCTCTAGCTTGCTTTCTTTCATTATTAAAGTCAACAAATTGTTTTTCAGTCATTCTCATCAAAATTTGTTGGTTAATTTGACTAGGGGCATCACAATATTTCCTCTTTCTATCGTTATTGTATGAAAGATATACACATTCTTTTTTCACTAATTTGATTTTCATGTTTGAGTAACTTCTATGATAGTCCAATACTGTGGTTCTTTTTGAATAATCACGTGACTCTCCGAAAAATCCTTCAAGAGAACGTGTTCCCAATAAAGACAAATCAAAAACTGCATCTTGTGGAATAATTCTGATCAATTTCTGAATTGTTTTGATGTTATGGATAATGATGTTTTTTGTGAGGGTTCCGGATAATGTAAAATTATTATTCTTATTGGAAATAATGACGTCTTGGAAAACGGTATCCCACTCATTCAAATAGTCCAAATTTTCCTTAAGAACTTGCAACACTTCGTGCAAATTGTGTGAAGATGTTCCATCATGATTTTTGTCATCGTAAACATGAAATAAATCATGTATCGCTTTTAAGTACTTATAGAATCCTAAATATCGATAGTTGGTTCTCTCGTTCAATAATCGTAATTTTTCAAGTAACTGTAAATTGCATACATCACGTAATACATCCTCAGATTGATCATCATATTTGATAAACGAGCTCCGTTTAACTATTTTACACCACTCTAAAGGTTGTTGTCTATATATTTCATCGAGTGTGTTCAATTCAAATCGTTGTAAAATAGAACAAGAAATTTTGGTGACAGCTATGTCTTGATTGCTAAAATTTGCCACACACACTTTACCAATGTTAGTATGAAGGGTTTCACTCAACAACGTAACACTTAATTCGTTGTCATTGCTGCTATGATAGAAAGAAATGCCTCCAGAGTTAAAATTCCGTGGTTCTTTTTCTTTCCATTCAAATGAAATTGTGTCTTTGTCATTCACTATGAAGGAAAGTGGTATGTTGGTCGCTTGTGTTCTTTGAATAACAATTTTCATCAAATGGCAACCGTTTCCGTTGTCGTTGGAAGAAATACAAGCAGAGGAATGGCGTGCAATTTGAAGGTTTGGAGCACCTACTTTAGTGGCAACCGGATATAATTTTGGTCTCCCATTAATTGCATTCCTCATGTTTTTGCAATGGTGACTGTAGCAAAAATGATGTAGTTCATTTGGGCTCGATGTGAAATATTTGTAATTAGCAGACCCTGCATCTGACACAGTACAGACGATGTTTCGAGTATATGTGTCACGAAATTCAGAAATCGTGTCTCTAATGGTTTGTTCAGTTTCAGTAGTGCATACTTTGAAGTTTCCAGGAATTCGAACTTCACCGTTAATACTGCAATATAAAGTTTGAACAATTTTTTCAGCTAAAAAACCCTTGGGTGGAAAATTCGGACTCTGAGCTAGTGCAGTACAATCACTAATCTTCAATGGACCTTCATTGGCACCGTATACAAGCCCAAGCTTGGTATTGATTCCTAAATGCGGTGTTACATCTACTGCATCAATTTGAACAAGACCAAAATTTTGATTTTCAATAACCTTCATTTTTTCTACTAGCTTATCAAAGTCATCTTTGTCTAGTTTAGTATTCCCTTCTCCATATGATGCGGTGTGAAAATGATGGTCGAGTGTGGATGAACAAGGTAGGACTAAGTTACATCTTTCAGAAGAGGGTTCAAATTCTTGTCCTCGTTTCAACCCTCTCGCCAATGCTTCATACGCATTGTATCCCATGATAACCAATAAATCTTGAGCAAAACAAAGAACAGATGGGCTCCATCTATGGCCTCTACTGTCTTTGCAAATTAATTGTGAAAAAGCATCACGAAGATATGTGAAAAAGAAAGTTCGAGGTACTAATTTGCGACTACCTAACACCTGAAAAAACAATTTTTTCAATTCTTGAATATCCTCATCAAATATATCACATTCCGAATAATAACTATCATCATCGTTATTTTGTGATTTAAAATCAGCATGGTCTACAAAATTATGAGAGATGGTGTCGGACTTGGTATTTACAATTGATGAGTGTGTTGGAATAAATTTGTTGTTAATTAGTTGTTGCAGCATGTAATACGGTGCTGTTTGTTCTTTTGTTGAATATGACAACGTGATGTAGTCTTCAGCAAAACCATGATCCAGGATTTTATGTAATTCAATAACGCCGACATTTTTTTCTGGTTCGAGTAATTTCATGATGGTTGAACTAGAATAACGTTGTGACGTTGTTGAGGTTTGAGGTGGGTCTTCGCAAGCTGTACTTGTTTTGGAGTGTTTACGTTTTTGACGAATTCGCATCAGCTCGTCATGACACTCTTTCAATTTCAAATAGCCTTGAAAATGTAGTTTGTTGATCCATTCTGATGTTAACTCTTGATTTTGTCTTTGATTTTGAAATTTTGGGTCAGAGTAAATGTTATAGATAGCACTATCCTCGTCCGGGTCAATGCAATCAGTAACATATTGTGCAATCTTTGTTGAATTGTCAACCTGGAATTTGCAACAGTATAGAACAAATGGGACTCGTTTGTTGTGTGTGATGAGGTATGAGAAATATAGTTCGAGATGGCGATGGATGGTATTAAAATCCTTGCGATGAAATCCACATTGATCAATAATATCTTCTATTAAATGTTCGACATTAATATATTGATGGACTGCGAATAGCATTGTTTTGATGGCAACATGATATTCCGGTCTCAACAGACCGACAAAGGCGTTTCGTTCATGTTTTAACATTTTTATTGAAAAAACCTCCAGCAAACACCAGAACAAAACTTCGACAGCCTGCTCGACCTTTTTTAAAATGGTTAGGATTCTAAAAAATAAAGTGCTTTCCAAATGCTATTGTAACACTATTTCTGGGAGTTGGGAACGCCAGATCGCAAATCCTTAATTAGATAGGTCACAAATGATTTGGTTCGTTGAATGCTCTTTTCCGCAGCAAGTCGTATGACACTGGATAAAAATAATTCTGATGCACCCATTGTTAATACGATCTGTTGTGGGTAACCATTTTCATCCATTAGTTTCATCACAATTCTTGATTCCATCGATTGTAGTACATCTATTAGTTCACTGGCATCCTTCTTTTGAATAATTGAATGATTAGAAGTGTCACTTAATCCACCACTAGTAACATATTGTGTAATAATTTTTGCATTTGGAAACAATTCACATGCATTATCACAATCCATATTAATCATCACCACTTGCTGTACATAGGAGCTAGAAATGTCACAACGTGGACCACTGCCCCAAATCATGAGGTTTTTCAGTGCCTTCAAATATGGAAATAAGTTTGTTGTCACACTCATTCCTGGTTGTGCTGCCATAATTATCAAAGATTGCAAAGTTGTGTTTTCTCCAATAAAAGAAGAACAAACCAACGGCTCCAAAGCATAATATAACTGCCCAACTCGATTTTCCTGAAAAGGTACAAACGCATGGTTATCAAAAGGGAAATACATGGGAGTTCTTGGCTTCAATTCAAATTTGGGTGTCAATTCATTTGTATCTGAATCATGGGGAAGATTATTGGTTCTATCATTGTTAAAATTTGGTAGAGAATATAAACTGTTGCCGTATAGGATGTTATTGATATTGATCGCATTTGGAGGAGGCACGTTTCCATTCCAAAAAGATGTAGTTTCGTTGTCGCTATCACCTTCTTCGGCCTCTTCCTCATCAGTGTCATTTTCATTAATACAGTTGGCATGAGCTGGATAATTCAATCCTGTGTTGATTGGGAGTAAAGGATAAGGAAATGGAGAAAAACCATCGGAAAATGCGCTTGTATATAATGGTGGAGATGGTTGTGACAGTGCCAGAGTGATGGTAGGTTGTGATGGCGTATTTTGGAAATTAATAGAGAGAAGCATCTGATCTGAATACAAGTAAATACTATCGGTTGGAAGTTTGTCATTATTCTCTTTGAAAAGTCGTTGCATTCTTAAAAAGGTTGCAAAATAGGTTATGATTGTAAAACTGAAATTACACACAATCAATTCTGTGGTTTGTAAAATTCTTCTCATCATTCTTGTGTTGAATCGTTTGCAAATGAGACGCATTTTGTGGAATGTGATGAATGGAAGATCGAGACGATATTCATGTGCCGACATGACTTCCTTCTGAAAGGTACCTTGATTGCTGTCGTTGTCATTGATACGTGGAAATTTGATTACGTCCAAGTATTTGGCTTGTTTTCCTTCTTGGATGAAGGCTTTCCACTTGGAATAGGTTGGAATAAATTCTAAAATGTCAAATTTTACATTTTCATCCAATGTTGAAAGCAACGACAGATCTAGCTCACCATGACGACAAGTGGTATCTCTTACTTTTTGCTGTTTCTTTTGTTTTTTGAGATCATTCTTGATCCATTGTTTGGCCAATCCACAATCATTGGAATATTGTTCTTCCACATATTTTTCAATTCTTTTTTCATCATCATCTTCCGAGATTAATCGCTCACGACCACAATCATAAATGTGGTAATTATGATCTTTCCATCGTTGTTCCAAACATCCGACCACATCAAAGAGAGCAATATCTTTTAAAACAGCCTCCTCTTGTTGATTATTGTTCGTAGTGGCGATGGGGTTGAAGAACGGATTGTTGTTCATCTATTTTTTCGTTCTAATCAAACTCCTTCTTTTGAAATTTAGAAGAAAAATCTTTCCGATAAAAAACGAGGACCGATTTGTTGTGTATGTCGGGATAATTATTTCATCATTTCACGCTGCACGAAGGTCATCCTAACAATTGAAATTACTGCGAATCATTCATCATCAATATTGAACTCTAAGAAAGATTAAAGAAATATATTGAAAAATGTCGTTATGGAGCCGTTTTAATTCTAGATCTTCAGTGAATTGGAAAGAACAATTCAATGGATGGAGAAGAAGAATTTCCTTCATTCTCGCTCTCGTCCTTATTCTCTCCGTGGTTGGTTTTTCCATCGGTTACTTTGCAGGTCATGATTTGAAAGGAGCCTCCACTTGGAAATTGGGCTTTGTGATGATCATTTCCGTTGCTTTTGGTTATGCTCTCGTTCAGGCTTCTTATGGTTTCGGAGCTCACTTTCGAGTGTTTTACAAACAACAATATGAGTTAGTGGATGTGAAGAAATATATTCATCATTCACCATCGGAGGAGGACGATGGTCATAACAAACTCATGGGCAATAATAATAATGAAGAACAACAAGCAGTACCAACCACGAACCAAGACCTCCAGGAAGAAGACGACGAGGAGAAACAACCATCACCACCAAACAAGGAAATTATTCTCACTCCCGATAAAACTCTTCCTCAATACTCGACCATGCAAGCTCATTGCATCATGCTTGCTGTAGCGACCTTCCTGTTTTCCATGCTTTATATTATTGATAGGGCTGCTGGATGGCACATGTATGTTCCCGAAGCTTCTCCCATGACCATTTCCATTGTGCTGGGAGGTTTCTTGTTTGGTTTGGGAATGCAACTTGGTGATGCTTGTGCTCTGGCACCTTGTTTACGATTGGAGGTGGAAGTTTATGGAGTGTTTATTTACTTGTGTAAGTTTATTTACAATTTCACACGTTTTTGTAATTATTAAGGAATACTTTCTGATTACAATATATCAATACTCACACCTTACCAACGTTATTAATGACTGATGAAATCAATGCGCATGAACACACTCACAATAACAATCTCAAATCCCACAACAGCTTCTTCGTGTGTGGCTCAGTAATTGCCACTGCATTACAAAGTGCAGGAGATTGGAACATTGGATTTAAAAATCATGCAGGATTGAGTTTATTGTTTCCCGGAACATTTTTGCATAAGGCGTATGGTATCAAGTACTTTGAGAAAAATCCATGGCTGGAATATTTGATTGCAGTGATTGCCATGGTGACACAAATAACCATTTTAGTGTCCGTTGCAGCTGGCATTCACTTTTTTACAGAAGAAAGAATAAGAAGAGTGAGATTGAAGTGAGTGGTGACTCAGACGAACAGTCAGGTCTCATTAATCAGGATTATGACATTGACACTCGTTCACCACTTCAAAAATTAATGTCCTTTGTTTCAACTATTGTTTTTAGATTTATTTATGGGCCTTGGGTAAGTGGTAATGTTGAGAAATTAATTTATGCTATTCTTTTTTCACCAAATTTTGGAATTATTCACATTGTGTGAATTTTACAGGACTTGATCAGTGGATCCATTGCATTGGCTCTTTTGAATTTTTGTTTTCTATTGGCAACTCAACATCCAATGGGTTTAACAGGACCATTTGCAATTATTGGCTGTAAAATTTTGGATGCTATAGCTCCTTCCTTAGACGTTCCAAAATGGTCTGCATGGAAAGACATTGATTTAAGAAAAGCCAACATGCTTTTCAATTCTAACTTTATTCTTGATTTTGGAATTGTTTATGGAGCCGTAATTGTTGCCTTGTTAAGAGGAAAATTTCCAAGTTTTCTAGAAGGATTTTCATTGAAGAATTTCTCTCTCACCGGCCACAAACAACAAGCATCCATATGGAGCACACTTCGTCGAATTTTAAATAATATTGGACATTGGATCAAGAATAATATTGGACTTGCTATTGCCAAAATCATTGGAGGAATTTGTATGGGTATTGGAGCCAAATTTGGATATGGATGCAACATTGGAGCTTATTTCTCTGGTGTCTCATGCATGTCCATTCATGGCTATTCATGGATCATTATGGCACTTCTGGGTGGATATATTGGAGCTGTTGTTCGACCATTGTTTGGATACAAGAAGCGAAAGGTGGCCTGTGGAACTGTTTGCAATACTGCTTCTATTTATTAAAAATCTCAATTATTTTCGACAAACGGTTATACAGTTTGATTCATTCGTTGTCAAGTTTCTCTCACCACCTTCTTCGATTTCACACAATCCAAATTCCCTTTTTAGTTTTTTTAGAACCCAAAAAAATACTAAGAACGACTTCTTTTCATCATCCCAGTCGGAACGTTGAAATGAACACTTCTTCCCATTCATTATTTGCAGAACAATCACAACAACATCATCAACAACAACAACGAAAACCTGGCCATCATGATCATTCAATCATCATTTCGGAACAAGACCATCCACTATACGAACAAGATGAAACAAATAATCCAAAACGATTTTCAGTAGCCTCCGTAGCGTCCTCAGTAGATTTTGAATCATCCATTCAACTTAAACCATCAATATTTTCAATATCCGTTGATTTATTGATTATTACATGTTCGTTAGGATTGGCTATTTGGGGACTCGTTTATTTTACGAAATATACAAATTTGCCAAAAGCAAGGCTTTTTTTATTTCAACATTTACAGCACGAAAATAATCATTTAAATATTGTAAATAATTTATTGAATCATGATTCGGGTCAATTGGTAGAGGAGCAGCAATACTATTTATCATTTCAACGTTTCACCCATGCATTGACTGAATTTGGAATGAATGCATTGAAAAATACTTTTAATACCACAACGAACACCACAGCTTCTTGCAATTTTTCAGATTTAAATACATCAATATTTAATATGGTAGCTGTGGTATCGGTGAGTGACCTTGTTGCAACCGTCTTGTCTATCGCATCTGTTGCTTTGGTATTAATAGCATTAGTTAATGCTGGAAGAAAATTATTTTTAATGACTGAAGTGGAAGATGAAGAGTTTTATTCTCGTCTCAATGTTGGGAGCGTGGAGAACAGTGGTAGTACCATGCGTTCAAGCGTGGAAATGGATAATCAAAGTACCGCAAAATTTAATAGCATTTCAATGACCACTGGCTCGAACACCTTGGAAGTTGAACCATCTTCTGCTAGAAATCGAACGTTAGCGAGAACCACTGGTAGTTTTATGAGTAATTTAGCTCCACCTTCTAATTTCAATAATTTGAGTGACAATAATCTGCAGCGAGGAAGAAAATCGGTCATTGTGACACCGGGCAAGAAGAACCGGCTTTTCCTGGCCTCTAATATTTTGACAACATGTCGAATTTTCTCTGGAATTATTTCATTTGCATTGACGTTGGTCATTACTTCTGTTCTCTTTAATGCTGAGCAAGATACTGTGTGTGCTGATAACACAAATTTTATGAGAAGTTTACAAGCCTTACGAGATTTAATACTTCCCTATATTATCACTCAATTTGGAGTAATGGTGTTAATCTCAATTATTGTGATTGTCAAGTTAATAGTAATGTATTGGCTGTTGGCCAAACCAACTTCGTTTCTCAAACGAAATGTCACCAAGCTTTTTACTTCCAAACGAAAAAAATCAGAAATAAACGATCGTGACAGACCTTAAAATTGTTATAAAAAGAGCTTGTTAAAAAGCTTTAATTTGTATACAAGTAATTAACCGTATTGTTACAATGGTTGAGAAGAAGGTTTTCTTGCTTCTCACGTGTTTTCGCAATTAAGTGTTGAGAGTCGTAAAGAGAACGACTCACAGTGTTAAATCTCTAGTCAAAATTGTTGTTATTATTGTATGCCGCAGTGTTGATCAACAAATTTACCAAACCAAAGCTAAAATCAAAGCAAAGAATACCATGGCAACAGATCCAAAACCAATCGATCGATTGGCAGAAGAATCTACCGCATGTGTTTCACACTTGGTATTGGTACCACAATCAGTACTGGCCTCTACTGCCTTATCCATTTGTGAAGGTTTTGGTGATGATTGTTGTTGCTTATTTGATGTCATTGAAAGATGTCCTCTCAATTTTCCTTCTCTCAAAGCTTGCAATTTCTTACAATAGCATTTACACTTGCATGATGGATTTGGCGATGGTTTTGGAGTCACTGGTGTTGGAGTAGGTGTTGGGGTAGGTGTTGGAGTTGGTTGTGAAGGTTGTTGAGCACCATAAGCCAACGTTGACACTGTATATTGAGTTCCAGTTGACACTTGACTTCTAATAAAATCCAAATAATAAGTAGCATTGGTATAAACACCAACATTGGTACCACCACATCCAGGAGGTCCATAGCTCACCACACCAGCCACTACGAAAATTGGCAATCCACTTTGAGGAACCACTTTTCTAAACAATGGACCACCAGAATCTCCTCCGCAAGTGTCCACTCCATTTCCATTTCCAGCACAAATTTGTCGAGGATTCACCATTCCCAAATTTTTAGCATTACACACTGAAACTGGAGAGATTGGGACTTGAGCTTTTTGTAAATTAGTTGTACTCGATGAAGAAGGAGTTCTTCCCCAACCTGCAATATAGACCTGACTGGATGTTGGAATGGTCGCACCTTCAATGACAGCTGCTGTTGCTCGCAAACCATCCAAAGGAACAGGTTGATCCATTTCAATGATGGCAATATCATTCTTAATTGTGCTCGATTCATAATTTGGATGTTTGGTGAAACGTGTCACTCCTCGCATGATACATTTTTGAGAACTGGCAAGATTTGACGAGCAGACATTGCTTGAGGAACCCAACACAATTCGAATCTTGTCATTGGTGAGACCAATTTCACAATGACTGGCAGTGAGGACATGTTTTGGAGAAATTAAAGTTCCACCACAAAAATGAATACCAGTGGCACTTGGACTTGAAAAGTATTGAATGCTGACCATGTGTGGAAATTCATTTTCAGTGGCAGAGGAACCACCAGAGACTTTGGAATCAAATTGGGCACAGAAAATGTGACCTGTGGTGGTTACGAGAAGGAATGTAATCACTGCAAGAAGGAGTAGTTGAAAAGACATCATCATGGTGTTGGCAAGTGAGTGACTGAATGTGCAGTTATTTGTTTTTTTGTTGATACTGATTTGCAGTTGTGGCTGTGGAGATGGGTGTTTTAAACGAATTTTACACTTGCCATTGTATACGCGCATGTGAAAGCTCTCCCGTGCAATCAGAAATCATTCACCATTCATTGAATTTAGAAAATTCATGCTTGGATGGAGTGATAGGTGTGATTCAGCATTTCTATGTTTTGAAAAACTAACATATTTTAAGAAAGTAGAAGTCGTGGTGATATCTAATTGCTACTCCAAGAGATGAACGTTTTGGATATAAAAGGAAATAAGGTATCTTCACATATCATTGAACGTCATCCTTAGTATTTGTTTGTAGATGGTTGGGTGAATTAGACCATGTCAGATCTGATTCAGAAAACGTTACTCAATTACAGTACATGGATAGTGTTGCTGCTGGCAAAGAATTTCGGCGTTTCATTTTCGAATGAATTTGTAGTTGAAAATTAGCCATGAAAATGTGTTGAGGATGGGTGCTATCCAATTGACTTTGAGCATGAAAATGATGAAAATTGTGAGTTTGAAAATATTGTTTCAACTGAACATTGATGATGTATCCATGTAAGTAATAAAAGGGGACAGAAGGGAATTGAACCCTCACCAACAGCTCGCTCTTTCATTGGAGGCTGGTATGCTGACCGTTACACCACTATCCCGACGTGTTTCCATCATGTTTCAGTGTCCGCGTGCAATAAATATCATGAATAGCTTTTAAAATTGCACATTCGGTCGGAAAACTCCATCTTGAATGATTTTGAATAAAAAGACATTGAACTATGTTTCTGAATTTTTAAATAATAATATTAACAAAACATCAAATTAATATTAGCAAAATGATATTTCCAAGATCGTGATGATGGAAAATACGCTCTTTGCATTTTTTTAAACAAGTGTACGACTGTTTAAAACTAGTTTCTGATCTGATTGTTTCATCTTTATAACACATTGGAGGGCCAAGAAAGAGTGCCATCTTGCTTGAAAGATGGTGTGCAACAAAGTTACTGAACTATTTTCCAATTTTGAAATTCATCCATTAAAAAATGGAATAACAAAAATATCGTTAAAAAAATATTACAAACTCAGGAAACCAATCAACGAATTGATGGCCCGAACAAAACAAGTAGCACGCAAATCATCACAAGCTGCCCAAGAACTTGCCAGACAACCTCCGAAGAGGAAATCTGAATTTCTAGATGATGCTGAGAACAATACTGGAAGTAGTAGCAGCAGCGGAATAGCGATACCGCCGCCCAAAAGTTTAAAAACCATTTGTATTCCCTATGAAAGAGAGGAATCATCGGAGAACTCATTGGGTAGTTTATCAGAATTACCTAATGAAATGTGGCAAAACATCTTGTCGTTTTTGGTTGGAGATTTTGAATTGTACAAAAAAATTGATATTACAAAAATTGATCCTAGTGTTGGTGTGACCTCGAGAAATCGATATCAAAGACAAGAATTGTCATCCGATATTGCTTCCTTTCTTATTCCTTTTGAAAATCTTGTGGCATTGATAAAGTTGATGCAAACAAACAAAGAATTGAATCGAATGCTCACTTTCAAAAGAGATGGTGTTCATTTGACCGATTTTGAAATGTTCTGGTTGAATGGATACAACTTCTTCGAAAAGTTATTTTACTGGATTCGAACCAGATCTTTGGAACAGATCAAGTTGGGAACTGGAGACTTGTCAAGGTCAGCAGTTGAGGAAATGGGAAAAATTCAGAATATTGTTCAACATTTTGAAAGAGGAAAGTCATTGGATGATTTAAATGTGACGATCGATCATGATTCATGGTATGAAGATGAGTATGCTTCTGATTACGACGAACAAGTGGACGAAGACGAAGAAGAGGATGACAATGCAACACCTGTTGAAAAGGACGGTGACGTTGTTGACAAGAATAAGGTGTTGGAGGGAGTTGTGATTGTCATTTCTGGCATTGCAAATCCTGAAAGAACAACTCTTCGAGAAACTGCTTTGAAGATGGGCGCTCAGTATCGTCCTCAATTCACGTCTGATACCACCCACGTGAGTAAGTACTTGCTTACGGAATTATTTCTGTTTTTAATGATCTTGGTATACACTTCTTTTTAACAGTTGCGGCAATAGCCAACACTGACAAATCAAACCAAGCGTTGTCTAATGGTGCATTTGTCCTGAAAAAAGAATGGATCTATGACTGTGATACAAACTCGAGAAGAATGAACGAAAAGACCTACTCATTCTTTGATGCACCAAAGCCCCCCAAAAAGAAGAAGGGTCCCAAAAAAAAGACTCCCATATTTAACGATCCTGAAGCAAGTAGAAACGCCATCTTGGAAAGATTACAAGCATTGGAATTGCCACTGGAGAATTATTGTGATCAATATCGAGGATACACATCAGCTTTTGAATTGTTCATTTTCAGATCTCTCATGTTGAGTCTGAACATGTTTGATGCACTGGATTCAGAAAACAGACAAGAATATTGGAGCGATCAATCAGAAGTATTACTTGGCCATCATTATTTGGAATACTATTCCGAAAATTCTATTCCAGAACCGAATCTTTGGAATCGAAAAGTTCCATATGATCCCAATGTGAAATATCCCAAAGTTGGAATTGTGGTGAATAAGCCATTAGGTTGGACAAAATTACTTTGCACACATATCAACCAGAATTCTGAGCTGAAATTAGAGGATGTTGACTTTGAATTGTTAAGAAATCGACTGTCCAAAATTATTTTGTTACAATTATCTCATATTTCAAATTTTAGACCTCTGGAAAATTACACATTTCCAGAGAATATCATATTTCTGAGCGTGGAACATGGAAACAACAGCAAAGAATTTCAAGAACCTGTTTCCTTTAGTGGAATTAAATTAGTGGTGTGCGCTACTTGAGAATTCGATATCATGAAGAAGATTTTTACAATTACGGACGACGTTTGGGCTTAAAGATTAGCGAAACAAGTTTCCTTCGTTCCTTCCTGAACAAGGAGACTTTACCAAATTTAGAACATTTAGTTCTGAATGGATTTACCTGTACAACTGTATTAGAAGAACAATTTGAATTTTTAAAACAATTGATATCCATTGAAATCGTCTTTAATCCTGATGGCTCCAGAGATGACCGAGACATGTGGGAGAACTTGAGTGCGTTCACAGCCAAACTCAGCCGAGCATCATCAAAATTGAGATATGTGGTTGTACAGACAGAATTGGACAGCAGACGTAATTTTCATCATACCAAACTAGTTAAATTTTACAAATCTCACCAATGCCCTGTCTCTGTTGGATATGCCAGCATTAGCAGATTCTATTACATTAGTGGGGAATAATTGTTATCGGCTATTCGAAAAACAAAATTCATGTACACAAATGATGTGCCATTTTGATATGAAATTTCATGGTATACGCTCAATGGTTTGTTCCCATATAAGCATCATAATAACAATATTTCATTCTTTCTCGATATAATTCATCACTATAATTCATGGCATAACCAGAATATTTCAGAGCTGTCAAAACAACTTCTGGATCTTGTCTGAATTTGGCAATGGCAAAGCGTAATGCATAGCCATTATTCTTCACTGCCTCCAACATGATTTCCTTGTCAAAACAAGTATAATTGTCTCCAATTATTCCAAAACAATTGTGTCTGATTGCCTGTAAAACGAATTCCTTATCTTTGGCATATTCTTTGGGAGCATTTCTAAGACAATTTTTACATCCAAGCTTGACAGCTTCTAACAAGAATTGTTTGTCACTCCAAAGTTTCTGGGAAGCATATCGTATGGCTCTCACGTCTTGTTTGATTGCTTCTATTACAATTTCTTGATCATCTTTCAACATCTTATCCACAAAAACAAGAAAGTGAATATCCATAATTTCTGACTGCATTTAAAATAATATCTCGATCACGTTTGAGGTCATTCGATGCATATAGAAGTAAAAATCCAAATTCTTGAACGACCTTGAGCATGACGTGTTTGTTCGAATAATCAAAGATTCTAACGATTCTAATTCTGGAAATACTGTTTTGAGAACGCTTAACATGAAATTGTGATCTTGGAGTAAATGGTCGAATCGCTTTCATCGCTTGTTTCGTTTGTTTGATGGCTTCTAATACTATTTCCTTGTCGTGTCTTATAACATAAAAAGGAATATGATGGAGTACATGTCCGTTCAGTCGAACTGCTTCCAACACAAATTCCTTTTCATTTTGAAGAGTGTCTGGTGCTGCACACACGGCCCTAGCATTTTCTTGCACTGCTTTCAACATTACTTCTTTGTCCTGTCGAATATTATGGCTAGCAAATAATACTTCATATCCACTATGTGCAACTACTCGCAATACAAAAGCCTTATCTGCTTGTACACTTGGTGATGCATATTGTAATCCATAACCATACTGTATAATATGATTCAACACAAATTCTTGATCATTGATAAATTCTACTGGGAAGAAATCTGTATATTTCAATTCTCGATTTTCAAGCCATTTCTTCTTTCCAGCTTGTTGCCATGAAAATTTCTGTTTCAATAATTGTTCCAATTTCCGAATATGGCTGGAATTTTCATCCCGATCATTCAAAGCATCATTTGAAAAATCAATCATGTTCATTCTGACATGGTTATTAAGTTTGATGACCTTGGCTGCTTTCTGGACCGTTTGTAGTTCTTCACTTGTTTTTAAATTTCCAACCGAAGTCTCTTCTTCCGAGATGAAACTGGAATAAATTTGATCGAAATTACGTTTGGCCATTTTTTTCTTGTTTTTCATTTCAATCGGCTCAAACGTGTGTAGTTGTTGTTGTTGTTCGGTACCAAGTCAAAGTCCTCATTATCTTGCTCCACTCAAATATTAATTGAATAATGTTTAGATTCATCTTTGATGTGTGTTCAAATTTGTTCTGATTTCACTGTGAATTGTCATTTTCACAAAAAAAAATTACAAATGTCATTAACCGACGAAAACCCACTTCATGATTCTCCCATTCTCCACCAAGACATTTTCCGAATCATTCTTTCCTTTCTACCCATTCATGATTTAAATCAAATTCACTTGTCCATGCTTTCATCGGAAAAGTTTAAATCCCTCGGAATGATCGCGTGTCAAGATGAGTTTTGGAGAAATCATTATGATTTAAAAATTAAATATTTAAAAACCATCACAGTACAAACCATCTATGTGGATCACTCGTATCAAAAAATCTATCCTAATTATGTGCAAAAATATGAATTATTTACAAATAATTTTAAATTTCATTTGATTGAAATGAAACATGAAATTGATCAACAAGCACAACATCGATTGGATCAATTTCAAAAACAATTACAAAACGCGAGTGATTCCAAAAATAATTTTAAACAAATGACTGAAACAAGGAAAATCGAACAAGGTATTTCAGTAATTGCAAAAGTTTCCTGTCGACCTCATTCATTCTATTCCAAAAAACAATTACAAAAAATGTGTCAAAAATTACCCATCAATCAATTGTTAAAAGATCGAATTGAAAAGGATTTACGTTTTAAGATCATGTTAATAGGAAGCAAAGGAGTTGGAAAAACATGTTTAGAAATGGCTATCACTAGCAATGTCTATCGACCAGAATATATCCCAACAGTCAGTGAAATATTTCAATTACTCTATGTTGGAAATTACCCCATAGAAAGTGGAGTAACAAGTTATTTGTCCATTTGGGATTCAGCAGGAGGAGATGAGTATGTATGTGCTTTTTTGACACATTGACATTTTACCTTAAATAGATATGATATTTTGAGACCTCTTTCTTATCCTGATTCGGATCTATTTTGCCTTTGTTTCAACATTGCTGATTTGACAAGTATTGAAAAGTTATTTTCTAAATGGTTATCGAAGTTCGAAGATTCTCTTCAACCATTCCTATCATTCTCATTGGTTGTAAAACTGACGTTCGACATCATTCTGAAGAATGTGAAAAAGCCAAACTACAACATTTATTTCAACCAATTTCATTTGAAAGTGGAGAAGCATTAGCACGCCTATTGGGATGTGTCACCTATTTAGAGACAAGTGCAGTCACAGGAGAAGGTACATCTGAATTTATTGCTCTTTGTTCACAAGTATTATATGTTCATTATTATCAAGACGAGTTGAAAAAGAAGAATATTTGCAAAACTCAATAATATTTTGAGGTGAATTGCTGCATGACGAATTTTACCCTTAACGAAATGGAAAAAAAGGAATGAAAAATGTCACGTTGTTCGAATTGAGAAGGAATCCATTTTCCTTCAAGTGACCATTCAAAAATCTTCCAAAAAAAGATCAACCATCTCTCCTTTCTCAATTTCGAAAAAAAATTCGTTGCATTAATCTGACTTGCATTCTCCTTTACGAAATACTTTGTGAGGATGGGCTCTTTTCTTTCTCGATTATTCTTTTCACAAATTATCAGTTACAAACACTCGAAAATTGTCATTCTCGGACTCGATAATGCAGGTAAAACTGCAACATTGTATAAAATTGGATTGAATGAAAATGTCACAACTGTTCCAACCGTTGGATTTAATTGTGAAACGATTCAGTATAATAATGTGAGAATGTTAATTTTTGATTTGGGAGGTCAAGCGAAAATTCGACAAGTTTGGCAACATTATTTGGAAAATACCGATGCCATTATTTATGTTGTGGATTCTGCTGATCCGAGTCGAATGCAAGAACTCGCGACACCTTGCATGAAATACTTGAAAATTCAAATTTGGAAAGAGTGAAATTACTTATTTTAGCGAACAAGCAAGACTTGTCAGAAGCTTTACCGGCCTCTCAAATTGCAGAAGAATTGAATTTGAAAAGTATTAAACAAGATTATCATTTACAAGATTGCTCGGCCATTACTGGAAAAGGATTATATGAAGGATTTGATTGGTTGTCTGGAAAAATTGCATAACCCAAAATGATGACATGATTCGACGACGGTTCATTTTGACATGTTGCTGCAATATACAGTGTGGTAAAATATAGTTTCTAATTTCTGAATGAATAGAAGGCACATGGTTGTTTGGTAGTATCTCCAAATACTGAATCTCCATTTCTACATGTAGCATCTATTTACAGAATTCACATTCAACAATAAATTCCAAAATAGTTCATGATTAGTACACAAAATATAAATGATCAATCATTTCAACAGCCACATGATCATAATGATCCAATGATGAAATTCCACCATGAATAAACCTACCTGCATGATTAATATTTGCAGCATATAATACACTTTCTGGAATTGGAGAAAATTTATCCAAAGGTGTATCCATCAGACAACTCGATGCTGGAACCAATCCATCATTCGCTTCTCCATATTGTACCATATTTGCAAATAATTCCAAAGCAACACCATAATAAGTGACAAGTCCCATCGGAGAAAATCCACACAATCTTGCAGCAATTAATGGTTTAGAATAGGAAAATATTGGTGCTCCCAAACACATGGGTTTCTTTCCTCGATACGTAGGTCGATCCACGTCACAAAAATCAGGATATAAAGTAGCATCTGCTTCGATTGGATTTTCTCCATCGCAATTTTGTGTCACTTGTGCAATAAAGTCAATAATTTTTTGAAGATTATTGGGAGCGGATTGATGATCATAATCGTAACAAAGAGTTTTCAAATAATAAGCAGCTTTGGATCCATTGAAAGGTGCTGATAAAGAAACCCAGATAGAGGTCTTGAGATCGAGTTCACAATATCCCTTATACATGGCAGTTGGGAAAATTAAATTACCCATCGAATGTGTGAAAATAATAGTGTCAGTAATGAGTGTGGAATTTGGCTTACTATTCACAAGAGCTAACGAACAATAGGAAGTCTGTAATTCCTCAGAAGTCCATCCACGATTGGCCGTATTTCTACGAATGAACCATGATTCTTTGCATTGAGTCGTATATGCATTAATATTTCCCCAATATGAAAAGGAATGAGTAGGTTCTTCATCAAATCGATAACCAGCTCCATGTAAAAAGACACAAACTTTTGTGGCATTGGGTGAAGCATTTGGATTTTTGATCATGATGGTTTCATCCTCCATCTTGTTGTTGTTAAAACGAGTTTGAATCTTCTTGTACCAAGGAGTATTTCGTTGTTGTTTGTTCTTTAAACATTGAGAATGATATGTGAAAAATTGAGAAGGAGGAGTGTTCCCAAATTGTTGCTTTGGAGAAACAGTGGTACAATTGGATTTGAATAAATCACTGTAATGAGATGAAACAATAGACATTGGAAGAGTGTCCAATTCAATTTCAGCCATTCTTGATCTTATTTTGTAAATTCGATGAGAATTCTTATTGAAACATGCAATCAAGGCGTCAGATGTTTCTCATTCAAATCATTAACGAAAATTAGAGAATCTTTTTCGGTACATTTTGCAATTTCACTCAAATGTTGAATCTCTTCCTTGCTGTCTTCCATTCTCCAATTGGATAACAATGCAGGTCTCAACATTAGTTCAATAAATTGTGTGAGTGTTCTGTGAATTCCACTTTTGGACATGTCATCTTGCTTCATGTCGTAATTCAATCGAATACAATCATCCTTGTTTCGATTTGGTTTTCCAGAACGAACCATAATGTCCATTCGATCATTGTCAAAAGTGACACTCAATGGTGAGTGTAAACTTTGTGCAAAGAATTTGAATGAATTTCCGCTCTCCATTCGATACATTCCAAACCAATCGGAATCCACTGTGGGGTGATGATGAGACTGATCATTCCGAATGTGTACTCTGAACGTTCCTTCAAAATGATTGTTGATACCATTTTGGTTCGACATTAAATGATGGAGTGAAAAGGAAGCGAAACGTTCTTGTTGTTGTTGTTGTTCATGATGATGAGAAAATGAGGACAACAACTCTTCGGAAACGACCATCACAGAAAATGTGACCAAAACAATTATCATCATCAACAAGATGGATGAATGAATGAGTGAGTTGTTCTTTCGCATTGTTGTTGTCAACATGTTGGTCATGACAAGACCTGTCAATGAATTAATTCGCCTATTTTTTTTGAATGTTGAAAAACGAAGTTTCTGCCGACACTATCCGCCAGAGCTTAATTTTCCTGTTTGGCTCACTGTTGAAAGGTTCATATCATGAGAGAGGAAGTGAGCAGTTGGGCCATTGAGATCTTCTTTCAAAAATTGAATTGTGAAAATCTCCGAAATCAAGAGGTCAAAGGATTACAAAATATGAGATAGATATTCTATTGCATTTTCTTCTTTTTCTTTTTTGTATCTGTAAATGTATTGTGTTATTTTCAAAGTAGTGGTCGATGTGGTTGTGGATGCGCTTGTTGTGGTTTCTTGATTATTGTTGCCAAGTGTGGAATTGGCTTCTTCTTCCTCACTTGCTTGTGCCATAAAGTGAGACAAAATTGTCATGACCAACATGGTCAGGAAAAAGAGTCCAATGAGCATGAATTTATACGGAGTAAAATAATGTAATCCTCGTGCAAGGCCTTTCACAATTCGTTGACTCGTTGGAAAGCTTGATAGTGGTTGTGTCGATTCAGCCATTTCTTTATATTGACGACTCCGTTCATAAAAGGATAGGTCAATAACAGCACAATAATGGACATATTTTCTGCAGTATCAACGAGAGCATTGAGAGCAATCAGGACAAACATTAATGGACTAAATAAACCTTCTCCAATTTTTAACCAAATATAACAATGGACAATGCAATAAATTGGAACAAAAAGAAATTGATCAATAAATTGCATGATGAGATGTGAGGTTCTTCCTCCGAGCCCATCTTTTCAATCAATTCAAAAACTTCAATTTCTGGCGGATCCGATGAATATCCCATTGATTTTAAATCCAAACTTCCTTCAATCTTTTGTAATCCTTCACTGAAATATTCCACGGTTTTTAAAAGGCCTAACACCAATAGATAAATTCCGAAAAAAACTAGGAGCCTTGTCCATGAAGGAATGGCAATCAAAGGCTTTGATTGTGTTGCTGCTGATTTGTTATTATTATTGGTTCCGATAGGTTTTCCTTTGTTTTCATTTTTTCTTTGAGTGGGTGTCATTATTCTTCACACAAATCTGTTTAATTAGTTAGTAAAAAGTTAGATAATAAATATTATTGTTTTTGTCACACCAAATTGGCTTCCTTGTATTTTCGTGAGGCTCTTCTGTAGCTTCCATTTGAAGTTGTTCAGAGACTGTTAAATTATCTTGAAGCCAGGGTTTATGTTCAATGAGAATCCAACAAATACAGCATAACGAGATCACAATACAGATACTGGAAATAAATCCAATAATTCCAAATAACAGTAATTGGAATCCAACATTGGTCAAGTATGAACTTTGATTATTGGAAGGTTCAGTTAGTGAAACTTTGCTTTCGTCCTTGTTAGTATAGCACACATACTCTGATTCTGTATGATATTGCTGTGTTTTTGGATAGCACGAGTCAGAGAGAAGGGTTTTGTAAGGTTTTTTGGGATTTGTTTGTGATAAATTATTGGAACTGTCTTTTGAAAAGGTTGGAAACGAAATTCGAAAAGCTATGCCGCGACCAGTGTCTGCATTGGAGCAGTCTCGTGTTCCAACAATGAAACACGGAAATCTAGTGTAAATAATGGCTTTACCGTCAGAGATGGTAGTTGAAGCAGATGGTGTCACACTCTGCTGCAAAAATGATCCACCAACAGCCAGTAAGGGTATTGGAGCAGTGAACAATATACAACTCACTATTATACAGGTTAAAATTAGGCAAATCAAGACTTTGTCTGACTTTCGATATTTTTGCTTAATGTTATAAATTCCATTCTTGATTAATGAAGGTCCCTTAATTCCGACAGAGGCCTGGGGCATCTCCACCACAGCAAACTGAATCTCCGTCGGTGACGGCACTGTGGAATCGGTGGTCATGATATTACAGCTGTCTATGGAAGTGGTGGTTTTCAAGGCTTCCAGTTTTCGTTTGGGAATGGTTGCCACATTAAAGTTAGGAGAATGTTCTCAAGTTGAAGGTTTGTTGAAATATTTACATATTGTGGTTGTGGTGATAATGCATATTCTTGAGTTTGATGAGAGAACGCCGCAACATTTTCAATTGATTGTTGTTCCACTTCGTCCACAAGTGTCGGTTCGATTTTCTGTTCAGTCTTTAAGCATTGCTTGTGTGGTTCTTCACATTCAGTATTCACACTCGAATACTCTGCAGAGGTTGTTTCTTCATACGAACACGAAACAGATGCGTTTTCTGTTGCGTCACAAAGAGTGTGGCTGTTGTTAATGATTTCGTTTTTTGTTGTATCAATTGTTTCCATTTGATAGTTCGAAGAATTGTGGTCGTTTGCTACAAATAATGATCCAAGTTCCAGTTGAGCATGCAAATCCTCATCCTGTAATGATAATTTTTCTGATTGTATCGATACCTGTGCCAAATACTCGTCACCCGACAACGCACTGGAGTTCTTTTCGTCATTCATGGTCGAGAAAGACTTGTCAACCCTCTCCCCCAAAGGGTGTTTTAGCTCAAAATTTTCAAATTCCTCCAATGAGCAAGGAGGTCTCAGAACACACTCATCCATTTTCCCAATTGCGAAAGCACGTACTCTTCCAACTGCTGTGCAGAGTTGAAAAACAATTCATGTTCCTTTTCTGGCACGAATTGTGTCGTTGCTTCTTTTGAAATTGCAGACAAATGCATAGCAGTTGAAATGCCACTCGTGAGAGACCCTTGACTGTCTTGAGTGGATTTACCGTCCTTGTTCATGTCTTGATGTTGTCGTTGTATGGTCCTAGGCAGACTTATTGCCTTGTTTTGTTCATTATCAGATAGTGCTAAATCGGAGCAATTGCTAGTTAAATCATCCTCATCATGATGAATGCATTCAAGCTCTTTTGGGGTTCTGTGTGATGAGGAAGCGGACCTCGGATTCATAGTGGTCATCATTTAATTGTGCGTTTGAATTTGATTTGCAAACCCTTCTCCAAGAACACGATGATGTGGTGGAGGCTATTTATATGACTATTCATACATCTTGATAATAGCCAGTGATGGATCTCGAGTTTCAAACTTTTTAAATTGTAAAGATTGTAAACAAAATGGGCGGTTGTATTCTTTATTATGAACCGGCAATGTTCCAACCGAGAAATGACCCGAGAAGAATCATGATATCAAGACCTTACCTACAGTTCACGGTTACTTCATCCCGACAGAATTTCCTCTCGCACAGTTCAAACTCTTTCTGGTTGATTTACTTTTATTTCAAAGTGCGTTTCTTGAAAGAACTTCCTAATCTTCAGTTCCAAATTTCATTTTGAAAAGAATGCCTCTTCCTCCTCATCAAGATCTTGTTCAGCAACAACAACAGAGCTCGACGCTGTCGTTGGAAATTGTTGTGGAGAGAGCAACAAAATTGATCGCTGCCGATATTATTACAAATTCATCGGATCCGTATGTGGTGGTGAAAGGTAAGTTGTGAATATAGTTTTGAGATACGTTGCCGATTGCTAATCAAGATCTATTGATCTTATCACCGTTTCAGTTCCACATCAAGGACAAACGAAAGAAGAACGGACGAGTATCATCAAACGAAATCTAAATCCCGAGTGGAATGAAAAGTTAGAGTTTTTTGGATTGAAAATGCAAGAACGACTGGTTGTGACATTTGAAGTTTACGATTGGGATCGACTCAAGAAAGATGTATGTTGTATCACGAATTCTTTTAACGTTTTTTAACGTAATTTTCACTCGTTTTCATTTGTCGCAACACCCTCATTCCCTTTGACTTTCCCCTGCATGGACTCGTGTATATTATATTCAATCTATTCACACATAGGACTTTATTGGAAGTGTGGACATGCTCATTCCAATGAGGAGAATCCAAACAGATAAAGAATACTTGTTACAGCTTGATTTGAATCATGTAAAATCAGGAACACTACATGTCAAATACAAGCTTGCAAAACGTACGGAGCAGCCATCTTCTTCGGTGTGTGATGAAGACGCCTCTGGTGGCTCTACCATCGAGTCATTCTCTCCTCGAAGTAGAAAAGAATTTAAAAAAGTGTACGAGTTTCCAAGTCACACCTTTGTGCCCGTAGTACCTCGTGAATTTGAGCTATGCAGTAGAAATATTGGCAACAAGGCATTCTCAGCCGTATTTTCAGATTCGGTTGTTTCCCTTGCCATTACCTATAAGGACATATCATCATTGGATTTTGTGGAATCAAGTATGTCAAGTGTAGAACAATATTTGAAATCCTTGAGGCCCACATGTGAACAAAATGGTGGCTCCCTTCAACTTGTGACAGAAAATGCAGACAAAACTTATCTTTTTGAAAGTGGAAAATTCACCAAAGTACTCGAAACCTCTCTCATCAAGAAAAACAGTTTTGGTGATGCCGAGTTATGCATTACCATCTATGCATGCTGTGTGGGATATACTGTGATGGCCATTTTCACACAAATTGCTCCTTCCTTTCTCCAACCTCAACAACAACTTCAAACCCTAATTGACATTGTTAACAGAACAATTGTAAAGAAGTTCTGATCGGCCTAACTTGACTAACGAGCCTTATGAGATTCGAAAAGTAAAATTGATTTCCAAGATCATTGCTTGTCGTAGAATTGGAGTAATTGCACAATGTTTGGGGTATTATTAACAACGACCTTCTTCGCCCTTAGTATTTTCTTTCAAACTTGCTTCCAATTCACTTTGTTTGCAAAAATAATCATTTTGGGCACAACCAAAAAAAACATCCACTTGTCATCAACCCATTATTCATGGTATTTTAGAGATTACTGTCATCATCAATCCAAAAACAAAACAGCAGTTTGAATATACAATCATTGCTGTATCATTTTCCTCATCCGAATAGTCCTTCTAGTAATTTATTTGATTGAATTTATTTTTCAATTATACAATAGAGGAAATGAGTTCATCACCCGTTCCGATGAACAATAATAATTCAAAGGTTTCAAGCAATATTGGAAATATTTCTAATACAACAGCAGTTTCTCAACATCCTCCCACTTCAACAACCACCAATAGTTCCATATCTACCAACGCTGCTCTCAGCAGTTACAAGTCAAATTTGACCTCTTCTCATACAAGAGAAAGAAACACCACAACTTCGTCGTCGGAAGAAACCTCACATTCATCTTCCGTTCGCATTCTTACTGAATACAACCCACTTTCATCAACATTTGTCATACAGCCATTAAATTCATCTGAAAAACCGTTTCTAGATGTCGTGAAAGAAGAATTTGAACATTTTGAAGAGGAGGAAGATGCGGCATCTATTCCTCAACAAGACACAGATTCTAAATCAAAAACTCATGTACCGGAAGAACAACAGGGAACTACTATTAATATGGAACATCATCATCCAACATTGGATCATACCTTATCTCCTCATTCAGATCATCCCAAACAACCTTTCTACAAAACTCTTGCCTATTGTGTCTATTATGTTGGAAGTGGTTCTACAAGCTCTCTCGTCTTGGGAATTCTTTTACAAAATCTTGTAATTCAATTTCTCGGAGAGACCAATAAGGCTCTCAACTTGAGCATTATTGTGACCATTGCAACAGTGATTGGTAGTGCTGTTTCACCAGTGGTAGGAAATATTTCGGATCGTATTGGACGAAAAACACGTATTCCAATAGTTGTGGTTGCAACATTGATTTGGGCCTTATCCATTGTGTTGCAAGCCATATGTTCCATGATGCATACACAATTTCCTAAATATTACATATTTATTGTGGTGATATATACCATTGTATTATGTTTTGGAAAATCTGGTTATGTCACCTCACAAGCAATTATTACGGCAATGGTCACAGATTTGTTCCCACAAGAACAAATCAATTTAGTTTCTGCACTTGTTGGTGTATTTACATTAATTGGTACTTTACTTGGAGTTGTTCTGGGAGGAGTTCTTGTGAGTCACATTGATTTAATTTGGGTGTGTTTGGGGTATGCCACACTCTGTACCTTAGTATGTGTTCCACTAGCTCTCTTTCATAAAGAGCTTCGAAAGCCACCAATTAATCAAATACAACAAGCAGCAAAGCCAGCTGAATTTGAGGATGTTCCACTCAATAACACCTCCAACGTAACAGCAGGCAACAACACCAATTCAGATTTGACGGACTCTACACCAATGCCATCTCCCCCTCCTCCAAAACCATCTCGTTTCAAACGTGCTATTGCCTATATCATGCAATTCTTAATTCCTTTCAAGAATAGAAATTTTACTTGGGTGTTTGTGACACGTTTCACCATTCAACTCACCAATGCAGCAGCAAAGAACTATTTCCTATACTTTATTCATGATGTGTTGAAACCATATAATTTTGTTACAGACAAATTTCCAACCACAGATACAGAAGCATTGTCACTGTTTTTAGGAATTGTCTTTTTATTTACTTTTGTTAGTGCCCTCTTAGCCCAGAAAATAGCTAGCATTATTGGACGAAGATTCGTGTACAGTGGTGGAGCACTTTTAGTTGGAATTGCCAGTATTATTCTCATTATTTTCAGATCGTACACTGTGATGGTATTTTGCTGCTCAATATTGTACGGTCTTGGTATTGGGTCATTCATAAGTGTGGATCTATCCCTTGTCAATTCTGTTCTCATTTCTAAAGATGATTCAGGAAAAGACCTGGCATTGTGGAATATTTCTGGAACCATTCCAGAATTATTGGGAGTTCCAATAGGTGGTCTTGTGATATTGATAGGTGACTCTATTGCACCAGATATCAAAGGAATGGGATATTTATTGCTATACACTTTGGGAGCCTCTCTGCAAGTCTTGTCAGGTTTTATGATATTTTGTGTGAGAATAAGTCGAGCTCAAGATACGGGAAGTGGTGCCCCTCATGCCATTTCCAATCAACAATTATCCAAAATGAATGTTGATGCTACATTGCAACCAAACCATCATGACGACAATACGGCCACCAATAATTCCGCCTTTTCCCCTACTATTGAGATTGAATTGCATGACGATGATTTGCACCAGAACAACCCACAAGGTCAAACGAGTAAAGTTTAACTGTGTTTTGTGACTTCTTGTTTTCATTCAACGTTGTAGTTTAGGATAAAAGAACAATGCGGCCACTCGCCATCTCACCATGTCCTTCAGCTGTCTCTTGTTATGGCGGCGCATCCGACGTTGAAGCGCACTAAAAACCTGTCAGATATTCGTCAAGTCAAAAATGAATATGAAAGCATAAAAAAATTTATTCGTTGAATGTCATGCAGTAGAATTGTAATAGTTCTGTTTAGGTGCTAGCAAGATCTGTCTTCGTGAGCTGTTCGTTGCACGCTGTTGTTTTACAAGCTTCAGCTGAAGCGAATAATGTGTAACGTCTATGGTCTATATTCGTTCAGTTGTCTGTTTGCAGTAAGAACCAAGTTGCTTCGTTCTTCAAACCTTGCAACAATCAGAAGACTCACTCATTTATTTTGATTCTTTGAGTTTACTCAATCAGCTGACGTGGATGACGAATATCTGACAGTTCTAGTACAATTGCCGCCATAATAATTCGCGTTTTGAGTTAAGCGACATCAAATTTGTAAATTGCATGTCAGCACAAGAAAAAAAGGATCACAGTCCAAAAAAAATGCTCAAACACAAAGCCGAGAAGCTTTTCCATCATTCTCATGGCCATCAATTCCTTTCAAAATCGACTCCATCCATAACAACAACATTCTTACCACACATCCACCAACAGTCAAAGCTTTCATCAAAATCATCATCATTATGGAACAACTCATCTTCTCACAAGAATAATTCTCTCATGATGATGGAGAACCATTCCAATTCTTTCCTTTCTTCATTCATGAGACAATTTCATTCCTCAAAACTTTCTTCCAATTCCGAAGAAGGAAATGATCGTTTCAACCCATCCGCACATCAAGCCTCATCTTCTTCTTCTCAATCAAAATCTCATCCTCTACTTGATAAAATTCCAACCGCCTTATTACTATTTTTATTGGGAACTTTATCCAATGCAACGATCATGTTCCTTTCAAAAGAGGAAGATGAGGAAGAAGTAGAACATTCATCTCATCACAGAAATGGAATTATTGTTCATGTTCATGCTGAGGAATCTCACTCGGAAATGATCAAGAATGATGAAGAACCAAATGTTTTGAAATATTTCACTTTGGAACAAGTGGCTCAACATGATGGAAGTTCCAAACAAGCAGGTAGTATTTGGGTCATCTTTAAAGGAGGTGTTTATGATGTCACTGAATTTATTGAGGCTCATCCGGGAGGAACAGAAAAAATCATGCTTGCTGCTGGCAAGTCCATTGAACCATTTTGGAATATTTATCGACAACATCATACGAAAGAAGTGTATGAAATTTTGGAACAATACAAGATTGGAGAGTTGGATCCAAAGGATGTTCAGAAATTGAACGAGTTGAAAGCAGCTCAAGAAAATGCAAATGATATTTATGCCAACGATCCCAAAAATAGAAATCCAGTTCTTCAAGTGAATATGGATAAACCATTTAATGCAGAGACACCTCCTTCAATTTTGGTGGACAAATTTATTACTCCAAATGAGGTATTTTTCATAAGAAATCACTTGCCTGTTCCAACATTACATGCAGACACGTACGTGTTGGAAATTTTGGGAGAGGGAATTGAGAGTCCAATCAAACTCACGTTGAATGATTTGAAAAACAATGACAAGTTGAAACATCACACGTTAACAGTTGCCCTGCAATGTGCTGGTAACAGAAGAACAGAAATGTCTTGTCACAAACCACCACGAGGTCTCGGATGGACCAATGCTGCAGTTGGAAACGCTCAATGGACAGGTGTCAAATTGGTGGATGTGTTACAATTATACGGAATTACAGAAGAGAAAATTTTGAATGAAGGAAAAGTGAAACATGTGGAATTTAAGGGAGCTGACACGGATGGTATTTCAAGTTACGCAATTTCAATTCCAGTGGATCGAGCCATGAGTGACAAGGCAGATGTTTTATTGGCTTTCAAAATGAATGGAGAGGATATTCCAATTGATCATGGATATCCTGTTCGAGCCATTGTTCCAGGAGCTATTGGAGCACGAAACGTCAAGGTAAGTGCCTTAGTTTTTGTGGATTTGGAAAAATTGAATTTGACATGATGAAATATTTCAAAACTTCAAATTTTTCCATAACTGACGTCATTGATACCTTTTTTCAAAGTGGTCACAAAAATTGTATTAAGCGAGACAGAATGTCAATCGGTGTGGCAACAAAAAGATTACAAAACTTTTGCTCCCTCCGTAGATTGGGACACGGCAGATTTCTCCAAGGCCAGTGCCGTGCACGACGCTCCAGTACAATCTTCAATTTGTAGTCCCTCTCCCAATATTCCCATTAAGGATGACACGGTCCTGGTGAAAGGGTACGCATTGGCTGGTTCAGGAAATGGAATTGAAAGAGTAGATATTACTACAGATCATGGAAAAACATGGTACTCTGCAGATTTGGAACGAGACCCGTTAAAGTACAATAGAAATTATGGATGGACTTTATGGCGAGTGGAAATTCCAGTCACTGATGAACACAGAAAGACTGGAGAAATGAATATTTGCTCCAAAGCAGTAGATTCTGCATATAATGTACAGCCAGAGGATGTGAAGAGTATTTGGAATATTAGAGGTATTTTGAATAATACTTGGCATTGTGTCAATTACAAGGTACATCGACATGATGATGAGAGGTAATTGCCTCTTCAATGATGGCCAGTAAAAACTCTTGGGGTATCTCCTTGGGTATTTTTTCAAAGCAACACTTGAATCTCACTGTATGAACAGGCTCAAGAAGACATTAATACTAGCATCTAAACAAGGAACTTGTTTCTTTGTCTGCAGTCGAAGAGTTGCTGACCTATTAGCTTCAGGTATGCAATATTTATCAACAATACAAAGACCTTACAACAAATTTCTCACTCTGTTCTCAGCTTAAACGCAAGGGTCTGAAACAATTCTTTGAAATGTTAGCAGTTAAATTCACAAGTAGCTTGAATTAAACGGTTTAAAGACAAGTCACTCGAAATAATGTACAGAAATAAAATTCCACTCCTGGTTACTCGATTTTAGTTAACTTTGTTACGAATTGCTCCTCTCTTTTGACCTTTCTTGTCCTCCACGATTCTTGTTTGTTAATTTGCTTCATCAATTTAAAGTCAATCATGTGCAAATCGCTTACACTAAATTGTTGCTTACTTGACGATTCTCCACTCTTTCGATACTCTTGATATGCATTCTCAATTTGTTGTGACAATTGATCGTATACTTTCCAATTACTGTTATTTTGCCAATACCACAACACGACTGTTTCTGACTTGAGCTCTGTTTTTGGTAATGATTGCTGTGATTGTGAAGGGTGAGTCATTTGGATTTCTGTTGATTCTTGTTTGATTTTCTTGGAAGGAGCTTGAAAAGAAAGTGGAGTGATTGGATCCGAACATGATGATGTATGTTCTTGCGACGAAGATGGCAATGCAAAATTGAATTGAGAAACACTACCGCTACTACTGGAAGTGACTCGGAAATTTTGAGAAGAGTGTTCGTGGAATGCACGTTTCCTTAATGGTGATGTGTTTGTGACGCTGCTACTGCTTGAGCTATTTGAACTACTACTCAAACTTGATGTCAAGTTGTGTCTGGTATCAGTCAGACAGTTGTCATTCAAATCTTGATAGAATTTTTTGGAATCGGCATTCACATAATTCAATTTTTTCCAATTAATATCCACTAGTTGCATATTTTCTGCTCTTTTCACTCGACTCAAAGCCACATAACACAATCCAGGACAAAATACATTAGAGAGATTCACTTTGCAATAGTCGAGCGTCATTCCTTGACTCTTGTGTACAGTGATTGCCCATGCTAATTTGAATGGAAATCCCATTCTCCACATTTCTGTTTCTGCTCCATTCACCTTGGGTCCGTGAATTCGAAAAACGCATGGTGGAATGTAAGAAGTGGAATTATCCATAAATCGAATTTGAGGCACCATTATGTTGAATCTCCATGTTGGAGAGAAGCGAGAGAATCTATGTTTTTGCCATTCCTCAATATGTAATTGTCCAAAAGTTTTGAATCCAATCACTACTCCTCTCGATCCATTGACATGTTTCTTGTCGATATTTTTCGTCAAGACTACTTGTGCTCCAACTTTGAGGACAATGGACTCTGGAATTTGATTGTCCAAAATTTTCTTGACTTGATTGTACATGGGCTTTGGAATATTTCCATAAAGATCAATAGTTTCTGTATAAAAATGTTGAGATTCTGTTGTGAGCATGTTCAAATGATAGTCATTTTCCTTGTCGACGTCCTTATTTGTTGTGTACAGCATGGTAGGTAATACGCCATTCACGCTCGATAATGTATTGTTTTGCAAGTTCTTGAGAAAATTAATAGTCTCTGTTGAAATATTTCCTGTTCGTACTTCACTAAGCACTTTTAAAAACTCTGGTTGATCGGTCTGTCTGAAAATTTGCTTCAATAGGACAATATTTTCTGGTTTAAAAATTTTGTAAAACAGAGGTGATTGAAACATGAATTGTTTGTCTTTTCCAGAATTGTTATAGGAACCATCTGAGTCATTAAACCTTCTGGGTACTGGATTCAATTGCATAAAATCTCCAGATAATATAATTTGTTTACCTCCAAAGTGTGGAAATCCTTCTACCAAATAGAATGGGATTGCTTGGTCATAAATTCTACCGAGGGTCCATTTGATTTGGTCATTTCGTTTTTGATTCAAGTTGTGTTGCCGTTTGATGTCTGAATAGAAGCAAACCAATGAAATTAAAAAGCTGGTCACTTCAAATAATTCTGCGCTCACCATGCTGATCTCGTCAATGATTAAAACCTCAAGGGACTTTATATCTTTCTTCTTACCCCAAATTGCATTGCAGTTTCCGTCTGGATCTAAGCCGAGTAAGCTGTGAAGTGTGACGCCTCCAATGTTGACTGCAGCTATTCCTGTGGCAGCAGTCACAGCATAATTTTTGTCAAGCATTTTTAACATGGAAACCATCTTGTGAAGTAAATAGCTCTTGCCTGTTCCGGCGCATCCTGTCACGACTAGAGATTCTCCTCGTCTCACCTTTTCCATCACTTGTTTTTGCTCGTCAGACATTCCATTCATAAGCGATTCAATAGCATCTTCAACATCTTGTGTTTCCAACATGCTTTTCATTTCATAATCTTCCTTTCAGAATCATACTCATATTCATCTTGAGAGCAATTGATAATCCCATTGGATCGTGTGCAGTCCAATACTTCCAATGATTCTGATGGCTTTTCTTCTTTCTTTGTGAAAAATGAAGATCCCAAGATAGGATTGTCCTGTAGTTTGATATTTGGGAAACTCGAAAATCCGAAGGAAAATGTACTGCCATTACCACGTTTGTTGTTAGCAGTAGATGAGTTTGAAAAATTCAAATGGTCTAGTTCGCTATCATCCACAAGGTTAATACTCAGTTGAGAGGAGCTATGTTGATTCAAGTTATTATTATTTGGAATAGGATGTTTTCTCGTCAATTTGAAATCGTTACTGTTGTCATCAATAGGAATTGCTGTATTGATACTATTTCCTAATGGATCGTTAGAAATATTTCCAAGTCGTTGCATGAGTAATTCAAATGGTCCCAAGCTCTGTCTGCCACTCGTGGTGTTTGCTGAGCTGATGCTGGTAGCAGATTTTGACTCAATTGAACTTGGTGTGGTCATGTTTTCTGACATTGGTGTCGTTGTTAACATTGGATCAATGACAATTGTATTTTGATTTGAATCGTCAGTAATGGATTGTGAAGTTGGTGAAGTAAAGGAAAAATTTTTCTCTTCTTTCCGAGGTGTTTCAACCCTAGAAAAAGAAGAATTGGATTTCGTAGAGGAATTTAAATCGTGAGAGTCCTCCATGGTTTTAGATTCCACCAATGAATGCAATTCCGATATTTTGTGATTTTCATCATCATTATTAATTTCAGGATCATTCTGCAATAAGGATGGAGAAGAAATTATCCAAGACATTTCATTATTATTTGTTGATTCATCACTACTAGTTGTTGCGTGTGGTGGTGGTTGTTGCTTCTCGTTCCGAGGATCAACCATTGATCCCTCGTTTTCGCTCTGTTGTATTTCTTCGTTCCGATGATCCATGTTGTTGCTTGTTTTGAGTTGCAACACTTCTCGTAGATAATGGAAGTGTTGTTTTGATTATTTTTTTTGGTTAAATCTAATTGTCAAAAAACTGTCTTGGGCAAGAATCCAATTTCGGTCTTGCTGGTTTTATAATTATTCCAACGAATGCATATGTTGGAATAATTATAAAACCTTGTTCAACACGTTTTGATTTTCAAACAACAGTTGTGACAAACTTAGTCTAAAAAAATGGCAAAGAGTAAAAGCAAAGGGCAAAAAGTAAAACAAGAAGCCCATGATGAAAAGGAAGAGTTAAACATGGACAATGAAGTATTATCTTCGGAGCAGGAGGAAGAAGAACCAGAGAATATGAATAATGAAAATAATAATAACGACTCATCGGAGGCGGTAACAGAGAAGAAAAAGGACAAGAAAAAGAAGGAAGAAAATTCAAATGATTATTTATTTAGAATACCATTATTGGATATTAAAATTACATTTGCACACGTGATGATTACATTTATTGCAGGATTTATTGCTCTCACTGCCGTTTTGAAATCATCGGAAAACTCTTTTTATTATGAATCCATGTACGATTTGGATCAAGTCAATTATTATGAAGTATTAGGAGTATCGACGCGAGCATCAAGGCGTGAGATTCAAAAAGCACACAGAGAGCAGACGAGAAAGTGGCATCCCGATAGAAATCCAAATTGTGGTGATGTTTGTGCACAACGAATGGCACTCATTTCCGAAGCTTACAAGGTGTTATCCAACCCAGATTTAACCAAATGGCACAATGTGTATGGGTTGCGAGTTCCAGAGGCTATGATGAAGAAGTATTTAAAAACGAATCGAGAAGAGTTTTAATTGATATATTCTCAACGTTTAACTTTTAATAATATAATGAATTTTACATGAATAGATAATATTTATTTACAATGTTCGTTTGTTTTCTGCCAACACCCAAAAAAAATGGCTAAACCAAAGAAGATTGAAAATTCGGCATCTTCATCATCATCGGATCAAGACGCTCAAAAAGCCGATGAGCAACGTCATATTGTATTGGAGGATAGACTCTTTCATGAAACAGCTCGTTTATTATTATTTGATGATATACAGGCTCACATGTATGCAAGTGATCCATCCAATCACTCCAAGAACATGGCAGCGGAAAATAGTCTTGTATTTCATCCATTCGGAGTAAAGAGAAGAAGAACTGGAAAGGCTTCATCATTGTCAAAGGATGGCTCTTCTCGTTCCTCATTCAAAATACCCTTCTTGGAATTGGAAATTACATTTGCTCAAATCATGATTGCAATTATTGTTTTATTGATTGCTGCTGTTGCATTCATGAAGATAACATCGGAGAATACACCAATGGTACACGAAGAGGATATCTATGAAAAGATTGATTACTTTGAAGTTTTGGAAGTTCCTAGAGGCTCTCCACTCAAACTCATCAAGAAAGCCTTCAGAAAACAAACCAGACAATGGCACCCTGATAGGAATCCTGATTGTGGTGACGTATGTGTTAAAAAGATGGCACTTATTTCCGAAGCACATACTGTATTGAGCAATGAAGAATTAACGAAATGGCACTTGGAGAAGGGGTATCGTGTTCCCGATTCCATGTTGAAAAAGGCAGCAAGAGCCAGAGATTAACGAACGAGTCCTAGAATTTTGAAGTACTAACAACTCCATATTCACACACCAAATTTGTGCTTGCACAAGTAATGGCCACTGAATAATTTATGGGTGTGCAAGATTTGATTGGTACCTGAAAACTTGGATTTCACAACCTTGATTTGCAACGAAATATTATTATAACACTAAACAATTAGTTAATTTTGAAAAAGTATGTCACAATTCTTCTTTTAATTATTGCAAATGTGAAATATGAAGCAAGTGCTTCCAATTCTGCCCAAGTTAAGATTGAAGTCACATTGGTGGTTTTTTGAAAATTCAATGTCTGCCATTTATTTCAGGTTGAGGCTTTTCGAATCCAACAGGCTTTGACAATTTCGAATTTCATTTTGAAAGCCTTATGATTTGCATGCTTTTAATTTGCCATTGAATGTTAGTAGTGAACTCGTTCTTGTGAGCTGTTTCAAGCTTTACAACTCACTCACTGTGATTCCAAAGGACATTGCATTAACATTTCTTGTAAAGCACTCACCAATTCCACAGCATCCATTTGAGATAATTCCAAAAAGATTTTCATCAAATTTTGAACAGAAACTTGTTGAATCGTGGTACGAATGTCAGTCTGATGATTCATAATGACTGGTTGTACCACATGAGAGTGTATGATCATTTCATACTCATCGTCCATCATCATGCTGGGACCTCTCGCCTGTTGTTGTGTTACAAGTGCTTGTGAGCAGCACGTCGATAATTTGTGGAGGTTTTGAAAAATCGATACTCTAGATCGAGAGCAATAACAATACTCTAAAAGATCCTTCAGACAATCATAAAGAGATTGAGTCTTGTCTGTAGTGAATATTTGGGAGAGTTGAGTCTCTGATGAAATGTTGTTGAGAATTCGGAGAAGTGATTTCTGAGTGAGGAATGTCCTTACTGAGGGTGTGTGTTGTTGAATGTTTTTAGAATGGAATTATAGTTGAGAGACCAAGATCCATAAAACCAAAGGATCATCATCATGAAATTATTACAAGTGTGATCGGGCATAATTACTCATTGATACAACAACAACTTACATTCTTCTCCGGTCCATGAAGAAAGAGCAATCTTCTTCAAATGAACACTGGTTGGAGTATTATACAGAAAACTATTCATTGGAATGTTGAGATGGATGAATACCAAGGATTTAGTGGTTCTTTTTGTTAGAGGAAACGTACACCTTTGATTCGTTCCATTTACACATGAATCCACATTGAATCCGATTTCTGATGGCATCAAGAGAGGTACCCACTTGGCTGTACCCACCAGTTGATGACTCGTTGTTCAGCGTTACAACATGGCGAGAGATGGACCTTTTTGAACTCTTCATTTTTGTCTGATCGAGAAAAAAAACAAAAATGAAGAGTTTGTCATGATGAAACAACAAAATTCAGCATGCGCTTGAAAAAAGAATGAATCCAAAAAACCAGACAACACCAAACATGGAGGGACAGGCAACGTTCTTTTACTTTTGGTTGATATTATTCCTGGATCAAGAACTCTATTATCAAATCTCCAAAACGAATAACCGAAGAAGAAAGCTCGATATACCATCACGGTCTTATCACAACAATACGTGTTATTAACATTCGTTAACGTGTGTGTGATTGAACACAATCATCAACAACAATAGTAGTATTCATTGATTGATCAAATACTTTTCAACACCACGTTATAAATAATATTACATCATGAATCCGATGAAGAATGGTGGTGGTTCATCAAGAAGAACAGTTCTTGGAGGCTCGTCGTTTCTTGAATTTGTCCTTCATGTATCACTTGCATTACTCTGTATTCTCTTAAGAGTAGTAAACGCTCAAACGCCGTCACTCGTCATTACCAACAATAGGCTCACCTCCAGAGGTTTCACAGGCAAAATCTTAACAGCTACCGACCTTTCAGCAAGTCTTTCTTCATCCACTTCGGGAATCACACTCATCATTGTCAACTTCTTCATATTGAATATGAAAGGAGGACATTTTGAATACCTCAATGGAAATGCATCCTTGTTCGTGAACTCTTTCACCTCTAACGACATTCAACAAGGAAAGGTACTTTTCATTCCCGATGGTTACGTTGGTTCCACGAGTAGCACCAATTCCCCAATTGAATATCCAGCCTATAACGTTATTGCTCAAGGTACAATTCAAACAGCCTCGGGAACTTCCGTCCTCAATAGTACACTTTCAACAGCTCAAGTCACTTATTCTAGATGGTCAGAGCCAGCACTACCTCTCACATGGACTTCAATTTCTACCTCTGCTCCCAAACCAATTGTCATTAATAGATCCAATACAACTCATGCATATTTCGAAGTGACCATGTTTAAGAGGAATTTGGCTTTAGACGGATTACCTGCTTCTTCTTTTCATGTTGCTTTGCAGAGCGACAGTCTGTGTCAGACTTCGAGCAATATTGTGTTGAATGCCTTATCGGACGGTTTTGTATTAGTGAAAGACAGTTCGTATTCGCAGACTTTTGTTTTAGTACGTACTCTGCGAGACCATTTATCCGACTCCAAGGTTGTGAAAAACATGGCAGGAGTTTATATTGATGCAAAAACTACAATTTTCACTTCATACATGCTCTATGATCCGACTGTAGGAACACTCACATGTAAAACCATATCGTTCACTGAAGTGATCATTACTCAGGTGGATCTCTCTTTGCAACCCATTCCTTCTACATCAAATCCAGATATTAGCCTCACTCCAACTCGACTCGTAGTTTCAGACTCGTCACAAATTGAAGTTGGTCTCTCAGTGAGAATTGCAGGCCTCAACAATGCAAATATTTTCAATTGGAATGTGATTGGGCCTAAACATTTTGGCGTCAAGTATCCAATCCTTATTGATGTCAAATCTGATGCCAAGTATTGGAAGGTGAGTTTGGCGTCGAATAAGGTCAACCCTGGTGATGATTATAGTGGAACGTACAAGGTCAGTTTTGAATCACAACTAAGCGGTCAGCCAGGATCCACTCTATATGAATTATCCTTCTCGTTACAATACGTTGTTCCAAATAACGACAATGCTGGAAATGGTGGAAATGGAGGATTAAATTTTGATACACAAATTGACACCTACCTCGACAACAATTTCGCAACCAGTCCACCACAAACACAATTCTACAAAGACAATCTCATGTTTGTCAAAGTTTCTACTATCATTGTACAAACCAGTGTTGGTGGTTTGTCACCAATTCCGTCCTCTAAACAAGTTGCTCCTTGGAATGTTTTTATTTGCTGTACCAAGAATTTACAAGCTATTCCTAGTAATCAATGCAGACAATTCGATTCTTCAATAATGACTTACCAAAAACAGTTAGTTATCAATGGAACTGTTAGTAATGATACGGATGTACGGTATGGGTTCAATTTCACCTATCCAGAAGATATTTTGGGAATTTCTGATTGGGGTACATTAAGGCACATTTATGCATTCAGTTTGTTCTTGGATCCACTTTTAACAGGGCAAGACAAGAGATGTTTTTTTGCTGCTGACACATATTTGGTCAATGCTGATCTTCCAATTTTGACTTCGTTGAGCAAAAGGAATTCAGCATCAATATCCAAGCCATCTCGGAGAAAGCTTTCAATTCAATATGGTGCCTCAAGTAGAAAGCACATTGAAATTACTCTCAGCGATAGTATGGCGAACGACAGAAAATATGTTAGGAGTTTACAGGCAGTTGCAGCATCATCTAATATGATATCCACCAGTACGAGAGCTTTTGATTTGTTGGAACGAGTGGCGCCTCGTGGTTCTTCTTCCAAGAGTGTGATCAAATCTCCAGTTCCCTCCACAAAAGTACAACTTCCTTCCATTCAGTATATTTGTGACAGTTTTGCCATGCCAAGCAAACCATTGCATCTACAACATTGGGTGATGACTATTGTGACTTGTATGTTTTGTTGTTGGATAGTAATTGCTTGAGGATCATGCGTAATGTTTGTTTGTGTCACACCATCGTCAAGGCATCAATAAATGATTTTGAAGTTATTTTTATATCAAAATGCAACCGACGAGACTTGAACTCGTGCCTTCTGATACCCGACATACCAGATGTTCTGCCACTAAACTACAGCCGCGTAAAACAATGTAATTCGTAGTAACGTGCTTTTGAGTGAAATATTTGACAAAAATTGAACTTGGAAAGTTCACCTCACTACGTTATTTTACCGCCAATAGTATCCTACAACAAGTTATTCCTTTAAAAAAAATATCCTGAACCTTCGCTGATTTTTTCAAAAGAACCCTACAACCATGAGGAGCATGCTTGTTGTATGTAGAATTGTATAAGTTGATAAACCACTAATGATCAATAACTCAATTCCGAACACGCTCACTTTGTGCTACATCTTTATATTTAGGCCTATATTTTGTGGTTAGCCTGTTGTATTGGACTTTGTGGCATCCATCGATTCTATTTGGATTCGGTGCTTTTAGGAATTATTTCTTTACTCACTGGTGGTATTTTCGGAATTTTGCAACTTGTTGATTTGTGTCTCATTCCGGGAATGGTGGCCACCCTTAATGCTAAAGAGCAGGGTACCACTAAGGTTGTGGTAGTTCAACAAACACAACCAGTAGCTCAACCTCCACCAACACAAGTTGTTGTTGTAAATAATAATACTAACGTGAATAATTAAAAAGAACTTTGTCTATTGGGTGTGTTCAACGTCAAGGGACATGAAGCTTGCTGGCCATGATTGTTTCATGAATTACATAAATTAGGAACGGAGGGACAAAATTCCTGACCTTTCAATTTGGAATCAAATGAGTAATTTTCTAAAATTGAATATTCACTTTGAACAAAGTTGGTAAATTGCTAGATTGATCATTGAAAATCTCTAACACAACTTTGGGTCTGGTACTGGAACATGGTTATTCACGTTTAGTAAATTCCCAATCAGATCCATCCGCCACGATGAAAACATTAAGACATTACCCTTTTATGGTGAACTTGTCCTCACCTATTTAACACGAAATGGCCTGATGCAGTCCACTCCATTCAGACCAATTCAACAAAAAAACAATTGACACAGATTTGTGACCCTTTACAACTCGTCAATCCACCGCTCACCATGAAAAAGCTCCTCCTTTTCATTGCTTTGGCTCTCGTCCTTCTGGTTGTGGGAGTCAGTGCCAATTCTAAAATGTTTTATCCACGCTATGGATATAGTTATCGTTATGCTTACACTTATCCATACTCGTATGGATACAGCTTTGGTTATCCTTACTACTCCTATTCATATCCTTACACGTTTGGCTACACATATGCTTATCCATACGCTTACACTTATCCATATTATTATGGATACTCGTACCCTTATTCATATTCTTATAGATATGGTTATTATTGGTAAAAAGGAGAAGGTGAAGATGGATGAAGTAGTGAGTCTGTTTGAACACCAAATGTCTTGATGTAGTCTTTTTGACGGTTCATCATTCGGCTCGTCTTGTGTGAATTTGTGAGAGTGTTTGTGAAATAAACTAGAACTGTTTGTACACTTTTCTGTTGTAGCGTTTTGAAAGTGGTTCATCCTTCAGCAAAAATGAAATCAAAAACATTAATGTGAAATCAAGATTTCCTTGATGTAGTAGATGAATTAAACGGACTGCCCGTGAAATATGCAAACATGAAATGTTAGAAGTACGGTCCACTTCACACTTATGGAATCTCTTTGTCGAGCAGTTCTGACGAGAAGCTGCTTTGACGGTTGAAACCATCATAAAATCATCCGGGGATAGTTATTGAATTAAAAATTTCCAGCGAAACGCTCATTGTAGATATGTGTGTTCTCGAAAAAATACGCTTTGGGAAAGTCCAAAATGATCACTCCAGTGTCATCTTTCCTTTAAAGGAATATTTCACAAATATTTCCTAGTACCATTATTTTAGTATTTCCATTCCAGGAACTCTTTGCTTCACCATCTTGCTGTGGTGGTTGTGCATGTTGTGTACTCTTTAACTTCATACTCAAAAAAAAACAATTGTCATTCACACAAGCACGTCGAACCCTCATGACAACACGGCCTAGTTCCCACTCGTCCTCTCTACTCATCCACTGCTGCATTGTTTCACTATTCGTATTGTGTGCTCTCTTTTCACACACATCAACTTCAGATGTCCATTCCATGTTGTTTGGAGTTATTGGAGGTGTAAAAGCAAGTACCACCAAACTACGAGGAGATGCCAGCAGTGAACAACAAGCACCACCAACAGTTCAGAATACGTATTCGGTTCAGCCACAACAAGCACAACCACAAGCGCAGCAACAACCTCAACCACAAGCAGCGGCAGCAACTGGACAAGGTAATCCACAGTCATTACACTAGTGCCCAGTATCCACCCAATGCTACACCTCCCACCACCATTACAGTGATTTATCCAACATCGTCGGGAACAGGTGGACAGCAACCACAGCCACAGCCACAGCCACAACCAGTTCCTCAACCTCAGCCAGTACCTCAACAACCAACGGTGCAAATACCTCAACCTCCTCCACAGTATTATCCTCAATCGACGTACTCGACTACTACGTACTCCACCCAACAGCAATACAATCCTCAGCAACAACCATATCCTCAAACCTCCACGTATCAACCACAATACTATCAACCACAACAACAGCAACAACCTCAATACTATCAGCCTCAACAACCTCAGCAATATTATCCTCAACAACCTCAGCAAGCACAATATTATCCTCCTCAGCAACCTCCAGTTTATTCTTCTACCTCCCCTTATTACGGAAGTAATCAATATTATACTCAGCCTCAATACTCAACTGCTCCACCTCCTACGTATTACACACCTCAGCAATCTTATTATCCACCAAGCACTTCGTATGGTGCCTATCCCAGCAGCAACAACTAGTCCTTACTACGGATATTCCTCTCCATATGCGTATGGTGGAGCTGCTCAACCATATTATTACTCTTCTTCGTATCCAGCTTATTCCGCTCCTTATTATGGAGGCTATTCTACTCCGTATGTTTCTCCATATACTACAGCCTATTCATCTCCTTATTATGGATATTCATCACCCTATTACGCGAGTACTGTTCCAACGACGTATGGAGCTTACGGAACCGCTCCTGCTGTGGTCTATGTATAAAACTTGATGAATAGTTAATAGTATTGAAAGTATTGAATACTGGAAATTCCAAGTTTGTTGAGAGTTTAGGAAATGATTTCTGTCCTGTGTTAGAGTGTTGTGTGATTTTTTTACAATTGTTTCAATAGTTCCTTATAAATTTGGCCCGATCGAGAAATGTCGAAGGCCTCACAAATCTTTTTAGAGAGATATAAATCGCTGTTGGTGCTCTTGTGTGAAACGATTCGAGTCTTCTCGTCAATAAAATATCAACATGTTTACGTTCTGAAAAAGTAAATTCCTCGTTTCTTTTTTTACAAATTATTCTTGAGAGTTGAAAGTTGAGTGAATACTTGTTCAAAGGAAGGTCTCTCACTAGGATGATGTGCCCAACATTGTTTCATCAATTCAATATACTTTTCAACAGTTTCTAAAAGCAAATTCTTTTCAACATTGTTTTGAGTTTGTAAATACATGTCACTCCATTGAGATAATTCCTCTCGGTTGTTGAAAGGAATGACTGGCCGAAGTTCATCCTTTGCAATGTGAACAAATATCGTGAGAGGTGTTACATTGGATTTTTCTGCTTTTGGAAAACAATGAAGTTTTTTAACATTGTCGTTCAGATAAGGATTCTCTTCAAAGAACAATTCCCACATAATGATTGCAAAACTATAAACATCAATTTTCGTGAGTTGATCTCTCGTAATGGAGTGTTCTTGCTCTAGAATTAATTCGGGAGCTATAAATTCGAGAAATGACATGCAACAATGATCAATGAGAGTTCGTTAGGCTGTGTAGATGTTCTACTTACCCATGTAATACATGGTTCCAACAGTACTTGTAAACATGGAGTGCATAGAATTGGTAGGGATCATTCTTGACAATCCAAAATCGCACACTTTGTGTTGTCCCAATTCATTGATTAAAATATTTGCTGGTTTCAAATCACGATGGACCAATGCTGGTTTCATTGAATGTAAATATTTCATTCCACAAGAAATGTCGAGTAAAATATGAATTTTCTGTTTCAAAGTCAAAACTTCTTTTCCAATTCTACAATTATAAATTAAATTTTGTAAACTTCCTTTTTGCATGTATTCCAGAACCATAAATTTTCTATTTTCAGTAATGCACACTCCATAAAATGTCACAATGTATGGATTTCTTAAATTGACAAGGACGGATACTTCTTTTTCAAATTCTTCATCATCCATAGTATCATCATTTTGATGGAAAGATTTTACAGCAACATCTGTCGTTCCCCAACATCTTGCAAGATAGATCGTTCCATATCCACCTTCTGCAATTTTCTTAATCACGACCAAATCTTCGACAGGAATAATATAGGACATGGAGGTAGCAGCATTTTGAGGTCTGTGACTCGAACTTTTATCAGAATTCTTGGACGTGGTTGTTGATAAATTTCTTTTCGAAGTCAAAAATGAAGAAGTCGATTTTGTAACATCCTCTTCGAGCTGAATCTCACCTAATTCTGTATGGAGTAGTTTTTGCTCAATTTTCTTTTCTTCTTTTTCTCTAGTTTCTAACTTTTTAAGCTTTCCCTTAATAACGAACATCTTGGAGACTAATTTTGAAATGAGCACTCCGACTAAGATTCCAATTAATATTGCAAATAGAAACCCAATAATTGAAAATGCAATAATGACTCCAAGTGGAAGTTGCTCTTTACAAATTCCATCTCTATATTCCCAACCGTTTGGGCATGGAACGATCAAGACTGAGAATGTGAAATTCCAAACATTAAGAGAAACAGTGAGTGAAAAGTTAGCATTCTGAAACGTGTTTTGTGATTGCATAAACCGAATATCTGTCCCATTTTCTCTTGCGATGGATTCATATTGAACATGGTTTTCACTTACAACAAGAGATAAATTTTCTCTAAAGATTGGAATGGTTTGTTCATAGAAGTCTTCCATGTTGTTAAATCGAATACTCAGTAATTGTCCTAAATAAACACGCACGACCTGTTGGGGATTCTCCAATGTCTTGTAATTTTCTTGCTTTAAATCGTACAATCTCACTATCAAACTTGACACGTTACAGATTGAAGAGGCGTAATCATTTCCATATAACGCTCCAATGTTGTTTTCCACGTTCAATCCATAACCAGAAGATTCTTGCTTCGTTAAGGGAGTTGTCAAAAAGACAGCTCCTCCTGCAACATGAGCACGATTATTGGTTAAGCGTATCACAGGTAAAACTAGAATACGGTCGCTTTGTAAAACCATGGCGCCACCCCAGGAAGCTTTGTTGTTCATAAAGGTCGATGTAAACAATTGAGGAACTTGACTTGAGAGAGCAATGGCACCCCCAGAGCCCATGCAATCATAAAAACCTTTGCACCAAGTGATTGGGGATGATGACAATGCTGAATTTTCAATGAAACTGGAATTGGTTATTTTGGTAGGAGGATCAATGTTGAGATTTGATGAAGAAAGTGTCATTCCAATCGCTCCTCCTGATTTTCCAGCAGAATTTCTTATAAAGTGTGAACTTGTCACTGACAAACCAGTGATGGAGGTTATGGAAATTGCACCTCCTGTTCCACTGGCTTGATTATTTGAAAAGAAGCTATTGACAACAGTTAATTTTTGACACTCTGCCTCAATGACTGCTCCATTTCCGTTCTTGATGTTCTTGTCAAAGTTGGAATTTAAAATAGTAATTGATTGAGAATTGGTAATTTTCATACATCCTCCAATGTTATTTGACATTGTAAGATTGGTAATGTCCATCCTGGTCACAATATTGAAATTGAATACTGGTCTATCATCACCAGAGCTTTTTCCATTCAAAAATGAAACATTTTCAACGATGGCATTTCCAATGGATGACAAGTAAAATAAAGAACTTCTAAATCCAAAAATGTTCAAATTTCGAATGGTCAATGTAAGTGCAATCTTTAAGTCAAAAATAAAACTGTTCAACGTCAGCATTGGATCAGATTCTCCAGAGCTGAAAAAGAGCTCGCACTCTTGCATTTCAAAATTTTGTACGGCCATCATTTGAACCATTAAACCTCCATGTCTAAGGTGGATAGTACTATTTAACAGTTTCAAGGATTGTGTGTTGCTAATTGACAGGTACTTGGAGGAGGAGAGCGGTTGTATCATGGTACAATTATTCATGATGAAGGAATTTGATTTTGAAATGTAACCAAATACAGTAATCTTTGAATTCTCAAAATAAACATCATATGCTTTGGATATGTAAAATTCTACATTTTCCAAGATTGAATCGCTCACATGAATGTAAGGTGAAACGTTTTCAAAGCATATCCATTCACGATTGGAAAGTACCGAATGAGCAATTCTGTTGAAACACCACTGAACTCCATTAAAAGCAACTCGATGGAGGTTTAGTTCTCTGATAAAGTTCTTTGCCGTGTTGCTGAAACCATTCAATGAAAACAAAGTTGCAGCGTCCGCTTCACATTTCATCTCATATCTCTCATTGTTTGCATTGGGAAATGATGTGAATGAAATTGAAAGATGGACACGATTCTCTAGCTCTGGATATTCAAAACCAAAGTAGATGAAACAATTGTCATCATGTACTGAATTTCCCATCAAGACCACTGTAATGTTGTAATTGTAGAGAGTGTTATTGTTGATTGGAAGAAGAATTTCATTAGTGATATCCGAGTTGATAGTGTCTTCAATGATGTAAAATACCTTATGGATGGAATAACAAGGCAGCTGCGGTGTTTGACCGCAATTTGGGTCCGAGAGGCTCAAACTAAAATTCAGATACATGGTTAGGTCTTTCTGAACGGTTGCCAGTGCTTGCAATGGAGTTGAGGAGGCATGCACCCAGGTGTTGCTCTTCGTGTCTGTTGCTTGTGGTTGTTGTGAAAGAGGTGATGTCTGGGTGATGTATGAGCAGAATGAAAGTGCTATCAAAATGTCGAGCAAGAGCGCAAAAAAGAGTGGTTTCATTTTGTTGTGGTTAGTGAAATTGCGGAGTGCCCTACAGTTTGGATATTTTACCCGATTGGCTTCAAATCTAGAATGACAAGTTGCTTGCTTTTTCCGATCAGGGCTCCCACAACCTGGCACTTGTGGGAGGAGCCACTAATTACAGAACATGGGGGGGAGGGGGGTTTGGCTTTTGGAATTAAATTCAAATTTAAAATTTTTTTTTTCAAAATAATTTTTATTTATTTTTAATTTAATTAATTAAAAATGAATCACTTGTTCAAAAAGCGTCTCTTTGCCCGAGCTCGCAAAGGTTGCTCTTGTGCCCTTCTTTCGATGCTGTTTATCTGAGCAGACAATGACCTTCCTTCCAACTGCGTTTTCTCGACTTGATTTACTCGTGCATCCTTGTCAAGACTACCATCAAGCTGATTTTGGGTTTTGTTCGGGTGCACCACTTTCATGTGAATCGTTAAATCAATGTCGGAGTGGACTCTACGATCGCAAAGGGAACAAGTTTTGACATCATCCTTAACGCTCGGAAACCCTTCATCCATTCTAACTCCTTCCACATTGTTTCGTTTTTCAAACGACAAATAATGACCAGGATTACTTTCATCGAGGATTGGAGATGGAATGAAACCATCAAACTTTTCCATCAATTCCCAATATTTAGTTGCTCTTTTTGGTGGACAGCAACTTGGATCATTGCACTTGCGGAGACAAAAGATGTTCAACCCATTACCATGCTCTGAGTGTGTGTGGAGTTTAAAAAGTATTGCCTTCACCTTCTTCTCTTCTTCCAAATCAGTAATATCTTTTCCTTCCAAAAAAGCATCAATGCTAGCAAAAGATGGCCATCCAGGTAAATCTCGAATACGGTCTTGTTGGAATACACTAGCATAGTACGCCTGTACATCCTTGCCACCCTTTTGGTTGAAGATATTTGTGAGTTTGATTAAAGCTGAATGATGATTCTGTTGCTTGCTTGCAAAACTTTCATCATCCAAATCAATAACACCCACCAAGCCTTTTGAAAGCGGAGCCATACATCGCTCAACACGATTGTACTTACTACCTCCTGCGGCAAAGGATGTGTGGATGAGAGCGTCAAGGTCGAAGCAAATGAATACGTAGAACATCCTCACCTGCACCTTCCGGTTCTGGGGAGCAACGTTTACACAGTTGTCAGTGTTACAAAAAAATAACGGAAGAAGCTTTCCGGTTTCCTTCAGCTTCTCGAGGAAGAAAACCAGATCACACAACATCTTGTCCTTATCTCGACTAGTGGTCTTCAAAAACTCGGCGTTAGAACTACTTCTCACATACACTTTTTCCACCATCCAACGAAGACTGTTATTACCACCAACAACCGCACGTAACAATGCAGCAACATTTGGAGTGATTGAATTCTCTTTACCTTTTGGAAAATCATGGTCTGGTAGTGAAACTTTGCTACTGGAAGTCATTGCTATTTGTGTTGATGTCGATACAGCCGCTCCTTTTGTTGGTATTTTCGCTTTTTCATCCAAAGAAATAGCTGTACTTTCTTCAGGCAATAGACAACACAACTGCTTGATGTATTTGTTGAGAGAATGGGTAGCATGTAGATCAACATGTTCCTCAGTCAGGTCGTTTGACGGTTTGGTAAGTTTAACAGTAGCTTCAGAGTCATGTCGTTTACCCTCTCGACTACTTTTGCACCTTGGAACGACATACCGTAACATTCCAGACCTGCTGTAAGGACGAAATCCTTCTTCTGATAATTTAGCGTTTGCTTCTTTAACCAAATCAACACCGTTCATAGGAGTGTGAACAAATGAATCTCTTCTTCTCTCTGATGCAGAGGCAATACCAGTTCCTTCAACTACTGCTTGAAGTCTTTGAGCCATTCCTGATGCTTTCCGTGGACGTCCTCTCTTCTTTTCAATTTTGTTCGTGCTGCTGTTGTGTCTACGGATCCTTTGTTCAGCTGCTTTCCTTTCGAGATATGCAATCGCTTGCTTTTTGTCAAGTGTTTTGAAGTCCAGTTCTTGCAATTGTTTGTCATATTCTGCCAACAACACCTCATCCTGAGTTGAGGATTTCAATTCAAGTATGTTACTTCTTTGTAACTGAAGGTCTTGTATTGATTTACGCAGTTGGTCTTGCTTTGTAACTCGACCTCTCTTGCTAGTCCTTTGCTCCAGCCATTCACGACCAGATTTAGATAGGACTGTGAATTCTTCATGTGATGTTGTGAATAGGTTTGAGTGAACATCAGTAATTGCATCGAGAAGTTCTGAGTGGTTTTTGATTTGTTGATACAAACGTGCTCCAGCTGAATGAATTGCTTGCTTTTGAGATGGAATTATTTGAAGCCTTGTCATTGTGAGAAAGCAATACCTATTCATGAAGAGTTGATATTGGTCAAGATTTTCTTCACTTGTGTAAAAATCTACTGGAATCTGTTTCTTGATTGGAGCGAGTAAGGTTTGACGTTTCACCATTTGTTTTGTTCTTGTTATTAAAGCCATACATGAGGTAAATATTTATTCACTTTATTAATAATAATTATTATTTTAAATTAATTAAATTTGAACGTTTAGTTTTGGTGGGAACTGAAGGCGGGATGCAATTTCATCGGTTTCACCGATGAAATTGCCTCCACCCCCTCCAGCAACTAAAAAGTGTAATTAGTGGCACTTCCCTGTCCAACACGAGCCTCAAAGGCTTTAGACTTGTATAACAAAATGCCCACCTCTTTGCATCAAGTACGTGAATCATCATCATTATGAAATACCCACGACCATGGATAGTGATTATAAAAAAAAATGAAAGCAGCAACAGCACAAAACTTTTACTCGAAAGCAAACACCATAGGTTGAAAGACCAATAGTAGCTAAGCATTGGGCAGGCAGATTATTGGTTGCTCTGAAGTACGAAGCCAATTGTTTGGATGAAGCAACGTACTGTGGTCTAGTTGGATAGCAGAGTGGTATTTACACTGACTACAACTATCATCAATGAAGAATAAGATTTTTTGATGAAGTATGTTTTTGCTTCATTGCTTGTTGATCCAACTGACAATGTGAGGTCATCAATTCATAGTGTTGGATTTGTTCAGGACAACGTTGATGATGAGAGGAATTTTTTTGTTTAATTCTTAACGGTTGTTTTGAGAGGTTAGACAAATATGCTCCAGTGTTGGCTTGGATATCTAGAATTTGGCGGGATGGATAACTTCAACGTTTCAGGGATACCATATAGTGTGGGGTAATGAAATACCGATGCTTCTTAGGGCAGTAAATTGGTTGCCTTGCTTGTGAGCAGGGTGCAGCATATGTGCTATCGCCACGAGCGTTACAGTAGCTCCTCGATTAGAGCTGTTTTCAAATAGAGCGGAGTGCACTTCTTTTCATTGAACCTCATCATCTTCTGAACCATCTTTAGCAAAGATCTAACCCTGCTTTTTTGAATCTGTTCACCACAACTGAGTCAGGAAAATCCTTTGGGCTTTGGTGATGATCCTACATTTATTTTTTACGATATTCTATCACTATGTTCTCATGTCATTGTGAAGTGTTATTTAAGGTTGGATCTGTGTCTAAGTTAGAGTCTACTAGCCACCTGAAATTTCTTGCACCCATCATTCATTCAAGATCTTCCGTGTTCAAGTTTCAATAATTGCAGTCTCAAATAGATTCTTCTGTAAAAGTTGAAACAAATCAGGACAGAGTGACCTTAAACTATTTGAATCTGGGTTCATAATTAAATATTTTCCTTTTTCAGTGTAATCTTTAGTAAAACCGACACCTTTCTTTGTTGTGATTTGTTCATATTTTACGTGTATGTGCGCTATGAGGGGCATTAGTCTCTCATTGTTTGTTAATGTGGTTATAAACTCCTGTTTCTCAGTTGTCCACCAGCTACTGCCTGCAATAAGGTTGGTACCAAATTTTTCTTTGTAAAAGTTATTCGCGTTCACAGATTTGACTCCTTTTTTAACATGTTCTAAAAATTTGTCTCTCTGGCAATTATGTAATTTGTTGCTCACAATAATACCATAAGGTTGCTCCGAAAAGTTCAAACAAATACCATCAGCATGACAATATTCCGAGGGATTAAAATATAATCCATTAATTATGTCTGCAAATGTACTGATATTATTAGTAGAGCTCTCATACTCTTCCATATGTTTGTTATAGTTTAACAAACAATGAAAATATAACACATCTCCCAAAATATTGTTGTTACTCGAGTTCTCTTTTTTGAGGACTTCTTGAGCCCATTTTGATGCGTAATATTTGCGATAAAAATCGTTAGATCGAATAAATGACTTGATCACAAATTTGTGGTCAAGTAATTGAGAATATGGTCTTTTCTTTCTCTCTGTTGTGTCAAAATTTTCACCTAATATTAATGGTGAAAGAATCAAGTTGTCCTTAATAAGCTTTCCACTATGGTGCTGTAATAAAAGAGAAAATACCATTTCCCATTTCTTAGGATCATGTTGAGGAAGAGTTAATAGAGAATTCAATACTGAGATTGAATTATTGACTTTTGAAATTGAGTTTGGATATTTCTGTTCTAAAACTTTTCGTGCAACATGCCTAAGAATTGGATCTGAGGTATCAAAATGATACTTATTGCTGTTGGAAGTATTACAAAAGTCAAAATTTGGTTTTGCTAAACCAGTTCCTATTAATGAAGAAGCTAATTCTCTATCGCAACTAATTGATTTCCCTAAAAAGGCATCGTATTCATTTGTTATCACAACGTCCAACAAAAAATTAGCATCAAGACGGTCTTTTGACGTTTTTTGACTAAACCTATTCAACACATTTTTTTCCACCTGACCCACAAACTCTTCCCATTTGTCAGTGAAACTTTTTTTGAGAGATGTTGTTATTTCTGAATGAGAGGCAACAAGTCCAACTACTCTTCTTCTTGTTGGAAAGATGTGTTGAATAGAGCGATAAAGGTCAGTTTTGGAGGTATTGGATAATTTTAAAATTCCTTCAATATCATACATTTTGTCTAATATTTGTAATGCTTGCTCAAAAGTGATGGAGTCTAAACCAACGCAAGAGTAAACACGAGCTATGTCCTCTAATTTTCCAATAGAGGATTGAATGATATCAATAATGTCAGTGGTAAACATGGTTCCACAATAAATATCACTAATTTTCTTAAAAGACTGTTGTCTAAGCCGAGAAATTTCGAATGCAATCAGTGACAATAAATCACTGGGTGTACCATTTATAGATAACATCGGAGTATGGATGTTGGAGAAAAGATTTGCCTCGTCAAGAGCAATAATAAATGGTTGTCCAAGATCCAGCTTCAACCGTGAATATAATTGTTCGATCAAAAATATTGTGAAATCTCTTAATATTTCAGTAGGTACAGAAAGCCATTGACGTTCTAACAATGTTTTACCCACACCTGAGGGTCCAATTATGCAAATTGTTGAGCCATCACGAATTTTTTGGTCCAACGTCTTTCTTTCATCTTCATTGAACAGATCTACTTGTAATTTTGGGATGAAGGGAAACAAATCTTTTGTTATCTTCTTCTCGGAGTTAATTGGAACAAGAACATCTCTTACAAATTGGGAAGAGCAGTGTTCGTTAAAGGGAGTAAGCAATTTCCTCATAAACAACGCGTCTTCACGAGAGCCCTCCAAAAGATCATTCACCATGTTTTTCATGACTATCTCAAACTTTGATTTGTTCAATATGCTTTCTGTATTTACGTTGCTGAATACAATATCTCTTGCATTTGAAACGAGTGCTATTAAATCGAGAGTGTAATTCTCTTTCTCGGAGGGAGTTCTATTACCTTGAGCTTGGCCCTTCATTACTAAATCACAGAACGACAAGTACCATCGTTTGTGTGTATCCGGCATGTTCGTCTGTTTTGCATAGAAATCAATTTTACCTTTAAGAATCTCATCTGCTTTAAACAACACTTCTCTTTCACTGCTTGAGAAATAATGAAAGGGTGGCACCCACATGTCCATATTCTGTAAATGAATTTGAATGTTATTGTTTTGTAGTAGAAATTGTTTGACCCATTGGACAACTGTTGTGCCCAAATTCAAGTCAAGATTTCTAATGAAGGAGGTTTCCTTGGAAGAGACTACATCTTTTGCAATGCTATAGAGAGTTTTGCCATCTAATAATGAAACTTGATCAAGACTCAAATCAGCACCTCCTTTTGCAATTGGTTCGCCCAATTTTTGCTTGATTTGCTTAATCACTGGCTCCAATTGCCATAGTGAATATTGTCTGGTCATTAATTGATCGAGCACCCAAAATACAACAGTTTGACAAGTGTCGGAGAGTTGAGGAATGCTATTCTTGTTATAAGTACTTTTAAGTTGATCAAGAGCATAATATTCATCCTTCTTCATGATATCCTCAACAATGTTGTGGAGAGATGAGCCTTTAAAATCAGCAACATACAAAGGCTTCACCTTTTCAACCGACAAACCAGCACCACCCAAAGATTCATCAGATGTAAATACTGATGCTACCTGTTGCGCGTTCCATTTCTTGTAATCCATCAAATTGAGAGTGATTTATTCGGAGGATGAAGGTGCTGAAGTATTTGTACCATCACTATCATTTGTTGATGCTTCTTTCTCCCTCCACCAATTTGTGGTGGTGTAAGACCGTATTTGGCCAAATGTGGTTGTTGTTGGATAAAACAACAATTTGTTCGGAACAATTAAATTTGGTTTGTTCGACAAGGTATAATTGAAAACACAATTTCTGGGGCAAAAATAATGTCTTGTTGTTTTGGTGAGGCTAGATGTGTGGCTGATGTTGTTGTGGGTAATTAACTGTTGAACGATGCTATTGGAGCCTGTTCTCTTCATTTTGGTGCAGAAAGACAGCGCTATTTTTTTAATGCTAAAAATCATTTATTGTAGCCAGTCAAATTTTCAACTGTTTTGCCAGGTCAAAATTTAAGGTCAAAAATTTGACCGGCAAGTTTCAGATGAAACACGATTTCGTGAATAAGGGCTTCCGATGATCTCTTCCAAACACTACATTACGGTACAGATGGCTTTATTATTTTTGTGATCATCAAACCAAAGAGGAGGAAAGAATTTGTTCTTGGGCGAAAACATTAAGGCTCTCTATGATGTAACATAATTGTATGTTTCTACATTGTAAACAACAACAAGAGTTTGGAATTAATTGGAGGAAAACTAATGGGGTTTTGACCCACGTAGGGAAGACTAAAATTTAATTTTAATTATTAAACTCAATATTATGCTCTTATCCAACATTATAAGAACGAATCTAGCGTCATTATTACCGCTGACATGTCGTTCTCGAGAAAAATAAAAAACGCAGGTTTTCGCTGAAAGTTCGTGAGCGTAGCTTTTTTAGCTCCCAAGTCGATATGGTCCAAAGTCAGACGCAGACATGAAACCATCCCAGATAACTGGATTATGATAGCATCCCTTACGAATGATAGATATATCAATTTAGAAGGGTTGACTGGGTTTGGCTCCACCTACTCTTTTTTTTGAGCCATTTTAACGACTTTACTATCAAAAAAAAATTTTGTTTTCAATAAGTCCTGTCTACGGTCCGAAGTTAACTGGTGAGGACGAGATATTCTCAAATCCTAGGCTAATTTTCATTTGCTTTCTAATGGTGTTGAAATTTCTAAGAGATGTGAAGTGGTTGTTGAGTTATTTCACTCTGAATTTTGAAGGTAAATTGGCCCAAAAAAAAATTTAATGTTGTAAATGAAGAGAGGATGTGTTTCTACATTGTAAACAACAACAAGAGTTTGGAATTAATTGGAGGAAAACTAATGGGTTTGTAACTCACCAAACATCCATCCTTTGGAAAAGGATTGGTGTTTGAGGGATTTTCTGCATATTTTGTCATTAGACTTTATTGAGCAGAGTCCCGAGCATTTGAAAAGGGGTGTAGAAGGTAAAAAACTCCAAAAACCGCTCAGCGGAAAAAAAGGAGAAAACCAGAGAAACGCAAGGAAGTAAGAAGGAAGTGATGAAGAAGAGATGGATTGTGATCAACTCACATCATCATAAATAAACCAAGTATCAAAGGTGGTGATAATGTCACAATAATGTAAAATAAATAAATATTAAAATAAGGTTAAAAAGTAAATGTTCAATTACTTGTCGAAAAGATTCGAACAAGGCAGTCCCGCACTGTCATAATGTCCTTCCTTACCACAAGAACATTAAGGATCAGCGAAAAAGGAACTTGAAAAGCTTAAGAAAGCATGATAAGGGTGGGAGTGCGATGGGTGGGAAGTCAGTAAGCAAAGCAAAGGGAGACGAAGTACTAGTATGCAGAAAATTTTTTGAGCATGAAAATTATTTCGAATACTCAACCCAAACTCTTTTATTGTTTACAATCGAAACATTCCTGCCCTTCACTACGTTCAGAACAAATCATGTTTCTACATTGTAAACAACAACAAGAGTTTGGAATTAATTGGAGGAAAACTAATGGGTTAGTTCCGAGTATTGAAAAAAAAAATATGGAGGTGAAATCGCTCTTCTGCAATACAACATCGTCTAGCGCAACTAGGCACATATCTGACACCCATCGACCCATAATTTTGCTGACATTAATATAGGTATTCCTTAGAGGAAAATTATTGGTGGATGCACCAAATCGCCAGTTATGACCGGAGATCTTCAAAGTGTTGTCAATTTGTCTATTGTGTTGCAAATTAATTCGGATATTTGAGTTGACGTAAGATATTGACTGTCAGGTGGCTAAGATCCGAATAGGACAAAAAGGTGTTGAAACCTTGACCAGGATTAATTAGGCAAGGTTGATCATTAAAGAAAAAACCTTGTCGAGTGATCATTAAAGAAAAAACCTTGTCGTGTGATCACTGAAATTTGAATCATTCCAACCTGATTTGGTTTGACCATTTCACCTTTGACCACCTCAATTCACAAAGACGAGCCAATAAACTTAAATTAAACTCAAAAAGCCGAAGCGTGGGAATGTAAAAACGGTCTTCTGGAGACTGTTGTGGATTAGTGTGGTGATCAAATTAAAGATGCGAGAGGAGCTAATGAGGTCGCTACTTGCTGTATACAAAAGATCAGATCTTTGTAGAAACTATAAACTATTCCTCCAAATCAACTTGTTAATTTAGCCACCCTCTTTCCATCTCAGCGAAAAGAACTGAATGGTTCTGAACAATACGGTTTCTACTAGTCTAGCAAGGTATTTGGATTGAGTCGACCACCATTTGAAACTGAATACCACGACCAATCACGAGTAGAGATCATAAGATATCGAAATCCTTCTTGCGGGCTGAAGGACGTGGAGAAACAATCACACTTAAAACTGTACAAAGGGGAAGCAGATTGTTTACACTTTGAAGACAATCATCTCCAAATAATCGGAACTAGTTGAATAATTGTATCTAAGGCCCGCATATAAATAAACGTCTTGGAACACGAATACCAATTACTCTGAGCCGTATTGAGAACCAGTGAGAGGAGGGCTAATCGGGAGGTAGTAATATCCCTCAAGCTTACGGCAAAATAATGTCAATTATTGGTTGGGATCAGCTTCAATATAAAGACACAACAGCTGATTGAGTTGTTTCTCACATCGTCCGAAACTGCAAAGATTGTTCTAATGAACTGTGGAGTGAATTGTGACAGCTGAACCTATAGTCGCAAATTTGTTTACCATATGATAATACTAGCAGGACGAGACTGAGAGGAAATAATGAGGGACATCCATCTTCAAGGCTAATCAACCAGTCTTCGACACTTCGTAGGGGTGGAATATAACCTTAAAATTCGATCAATTGTCTCCTGAGTAGGATTGCTCAAATCGCCTACTGTTTGAGTAATTTCGAAGGAGAATCGAAGTTAAATCTATTCAATACCTTCGCTATTTCTTCCAAAACCAAAATGTCCATCATAATTCATTTTCGTACCAAATCAACATTTCAGATTTTGTAAACTTGTCGGATCTTTAGCATTCTTTACATCTGTTTGACAGATCAAAGAGTTGAAATTGTAATTAGATGATCAAATATTCCGTCATCTGTCCTTAAAGAACTGAGTGCTGTGCTGTAATGCCTCATCTGAACTCGATGTTGGGGTTGTAAAGGTATATCTGTGTTGCGTTGTTGACTGGGAAGAGATAATCGCAACTTCTAACTAATATGAGACCTGTTTCACAGTTAAGATTGAATTTGTTGACTAGGACGTTAGAGCTAACATGCATTCCATAAACATTGACGAGAAGTATTTGGGTTGACGATGATTGGGGCTGGTGTGTCTCAACCGAGAGAGCTTCCAATATTCTCTTGTTCAATTTTCTGGAGAGTTTTGAGGTCCCTATTGGCATATCTGTAGATCATCATTGATGATGTGTTTCAATCTTACATATTCATCATTGACGAGTTGTACATCTTAACGGTGTAGGAATGGTGTAATACCAGAGTTGACTACGTCAAGAAATCCAGTCCTTATTAAACTTGGCTTCGAAATGGTAACTTAAATTTTCTCGATTTTCTGTTTGACTCTCGATTGAACCGGTTGGGATTCACATTGTTGTAAAACGAATACGAGAGATGTATTATAGAGTTCTACGGTTTGAGCGGAATGAGACTGCATTTTTCTAATACAAATGGCCACCTAGGAAACATTAAGGAAATCCATAATTATAGTCACAATGTGATCCCAAATAGAGAGAAAGCTAACGTCAACACATCAACCACGCAAGTGTAAATGTAAACCAACATTCCAAATTAAATTTGTCCTAGAGTATACTTGGGAGAGAGACTGGTCTTGGAACGAGACTTAATAGGAGGAAGCGAAATTCGAACGTCTTTCTTTCTTAAAAAGTTTCAAGTAGTGAGCAACGTGTCTAATATGAGAGAAAAACTTATATTCCACCATTCGAAAATCCAGGATGAATCGAAATGATGGTCTTGATAAACCCGCATTTGTAACGACCATATAGAATGCTCCAGTTGTTACTTTCTACAACTGACTTCTAAAAAATTCATAGAAATCCAGTATTTGACTTTCCAACTGAAAAATGCATCAAAGGTTTTCATCACCTTTGTTTTGAGTTAGTTGTGTGAAAAATAATGAGTGATGAATAGGGACACTACTAGGCTGTGCTACGATTTTTTGATATTTGAATTGGTCGAATCGTGAGTCTTAGTGATAACAATTACAATATTGGGTTCGTGGCTATCATCTGGGTGGCTATCAGTAGAGTATGACAAGAAGTCCTCGTTTGACATTTAAGGCATCAGTGGCAATTGCAAGAGGAAAATTATTGTTCAAGGTTGTGTCAAGGACTCATAGTACCATGATGACGCCAAGCTTCTCATTATCAAAAGCATTAATGATTAATTAGTATTCCCAATTAAGTTCGTCAAGTGATAATTGTTGTCACAACGAAACAAACAAACTATGATGAAATCTTGTCTCATCCATACAGTCCTTTTTTAAAATAGATGCCAAAGAATATTGTTCAATCCCTTCAAAATCACTACAACAACTTGTGTCGTGATGAAGGATTACATGTTGACCAATGTTGTGGATTACTTGTACACTCTTGTTGCAACTTGATATTGTCCATTGCTCTTCTTATCGTTTTGATATTGTTTCACTCTGAGGAAAAAACTGGAATGGTGTTGACATATCGTTAGAAATCCAATCTAATGTAGTACTTTCCACAAAATTTACGTCTCAAGATCCAGCAAACTAGTTCAATCGTTCAACACTTTCTTCATAATTTCTGAATAGGATAACGATATTTCTGTGAAGAGATAAGATAATATCATGGCTTGGTCAGTTCACGTTGAGAATGCTATAACGTTCGTTCAACCATTCCGAATTAATATTAAAATAAATAAATAAACAGGCAAGTGCTGAGAACGAATGAAGTTGATACTCCAATGGAAGAGCTATACATCTCGTTGCTAAGATTACGTTAATGATGTAGGTACTATAGCTAATGGAGTTCGATGCTAAAGTGTGGAAAACAAACTGAAAGTAATCAAATTCGAATGATGCGAGAACAGTTGTCGTTGGCTCGGGAGAAAAAAGAGTTCCGTGGTGAATAATTGATGAATGGAGTTGTCAGACAACAAGAACATATTTCACATGATGAAAGCTATTTGAGTTGCTTTTATGTTATATGTGGTATCGTTGATGAGATGATATGGTTGAATATGAGAGTAAAGAATAATAGAACCACGGATGATGACAGCAAGTCAGTAAGCAAAGCAAAGGGAGACGAAGTACTAGTATGCAGAAAATTTTTTGAGCATGAAAATTATTTCGAATACTCAACCCAAACTCTTTTATTGTTTACAATCGAAACATTCCTGCCCTTCACTACGTTCAGAACAAATCAATTATTTATTATCGGACTGGTATTTCAAACTGTAAAACCAGAGAGAAGCAATGAAATTGGAACACAAGGTTTTTGAGGACTTGTAAATTTTTTTTAAAAATATTTTGGACTCAAAAATTCCAAGTTCAAAATGATAGAGAGGTCCAGCGAAAATATGAAATATAGCTCTTTTTCAATAAATACTGATCAGCTGTATCTCAAATTGATATATGAAGTGTTACTCACCATGTAGAACACTAATATTATGGTTGTGTGCTGATGACTGACTCCTGACGCGGAAATGTGGTACTCCTAACCTCAGAGTGTGTCCGTGAGGGTGATGTTGCTTGACATGATATTCTCCTGATAATTAAACGAAGAGTGTAGTGTGTATGAGAGCTTTATAGAGTGTTTGTATTGTTTGTGACATGAACAATGACGTACCTGTTGAATGAATCAGCTCCAGTGTTGGAGAGTCGGTTTTTCGCTGGAGGGAATATTTTTAAAAAATTTCAAAGTTCAAGGGTTGGGTTTGGGTTTGGGTTTGCAACACTAGCAGGGGCCGAAGGTCCCTGCTTAACACTACTGAGTGAGATGAGCTGTGTTTTGAATGGAGTTTGACTCGGGAGAAGAGCACAACAATTTACTTGGTGGCTATCCGGGCCAGAGTATTTTGTTTTTATTGCGAAAGCAACTTATGCTTCTTCTTAAAGGATTCGTTGGTGGTAACCTCAAATTGATTGAGGTACCTTATTGATTGAGTTTGGTTGATTTCTTACTGTTCCCGCCACCGGAATCATCGGAATCATCGGAATTTTGATTGTTGGAATTCGACTTTGTAAAAAATGAATCAATACATTTCTGTTTCAAAGTTCGTTTCTTCTCTTCATTCGATGATTTCTTCTTCTTCTTCCTATTTGATGGAATTGAGGAAGGAGTTTCACTCGATGAAGCTTGTGGTCGTTCCACTCGCTTTCTTGGTGGTGTTAGTTCGGTACCAAGCCTTGTAATTCGTCCAAGTATATCATCAGGTGGTTGTGAACTTCCTGGATTGTTACTTGGTTGATGGTTTGGTTTGGTTTGGGTTAGTAAGCGTAGTATTAGTGGGGTTGGAGGGTTCGCTGGGGTGCTGGGGGTTTAAGATCCTCCAAAAGATCCTTTCCTCCAACCCTTCGTTGTGTAATCTTGTTGAGGTGAGTTCCTCTTTTCAAAGCTAAAAATTTGTTAGCAATGAACTTATAAAATTGTGTATCAATCTGTTGTTGAGTACAATCAGGATTGAGATATTTGAAGAATTCAATCTTCTTTTGAAATGCTCTGAGCAATTCAATAATTGTAGGCATTCTGATATTACAAATGATCACTTTTGAAGGATCATTCACAAATGTAATACCCTCACATACATGATTGAGAATTTTCCTATAAGGAATATGATTGTCAGTTCCCTTAAAGACCACTCTCCAAACTGGTGGAGGTTTCTGTTCATGAAGAAACAATTGTGATCTTGCTCTCTCAATTTTCACTTCAATGGAAGTTGAATTTAGAGGATATTTCCTCTTGAGAGTAAAATAATTGAGATGTTTCATACACTTATTAATAAATTTGTAGGAGTATCCTCTGTTGTGAAGTCTCTCCTTGAAACGATCTCTAATTCCAACCCATAGTTCAAATGTTGAACATCTCTTTGCATATCTAATCAATTCTCCATTAATGAGTCCCTTTACAACACCAGGAGCTGCACAAGAATCTTTTCTTGTATATTGATATAAATTGAGTTCCTTTTGATGTGTTGTTGTTTCAATTCGAAATGGTTCGGATTCATCATTTTGAGGACTGAAAAAGAATTTGATATCAAGGAATGAATCTGTGGATGCGTCATTGAGAATTAGCGATTTTGGATAATATCTCTTGAGATTTCTGATATATTTCTGAAGTTGACCACGTCTTCCTTCATTTACACGATGGAAGTGAATTGTGAAGATGTCATCAATATATCTCTCAAGATGTAATTTGTTATTTCTCAATTTTCCAAGAGCGTCTTGGTCATGACTAGTCCATTCCAATTCATAATAACAAAGAGTGAGATTTGCAATGTTTGGAGCTGCGTTGGTTCCCATTGGAATACCTTTCTTTTGATGATAGAACTTGTCAAGTTCTGGTACTTTAAAGTATGTAGTTCCCAGAACGATTTGGAGCATGTGCAATGTTGCCTTATTATGTTGAGGTGGGTTTGGATAGGTGCCCAGCTCGACTTTGAATCTTAATTTTTCGACATGCTTAATCATTGGATTTTTAATTTTTATGAAATCGTCGGGGATGGAGGTATATCTATGTGTTGATATGACTTTCATCCATTAATTATGGGTAATTATTGAACTGTACTCGCTTAAAGTAGACCTTTCGTGCATGGTCGGGTTTTTCGTCATCTTTGATGTTGAGCTTGATCCAAGCACATCATTCGATTGATTTTGAAGAGTAGTACAATCGTGCTAGCGACATCAATGAATAGTGAGCTAAGTTGGTTGAGTAGTTCAACAAATGGTGACAGGTGTCAAATTTTTGATAGAATTTAAGCGAGACCTTTTTTGTAGATCTCACGAAAATAATGGGGGTCATGATAGAGCATTCGATCAGGTTTAGGGTAGTTTTCGAGAAAATCAAGTTTGAAGGAGTTTAATTGAGTTCAAAAATGACATGAAAATTTTTCAAAAAAAAATTAAAAAAAAATGAAGCCAAAACTCCCTGCATTTTTGAGGTGATCCTCATCAAGATCGGGTCATGTTTCCATTCATCATCATGTCATATTTATATTGATCACATCAAATGTGAACATCATGATCAACATTTATGAGGAATATTTTGTGTGTATGAATACACATGGAAATGATAATCATCAAATAGTACTGGTTGGAATTGTAGTGAACTGCTCCCGTTGGATGTGATGATCATGGAATGAATCTGATGATCGGAATGTCGTTACAGTGATCAGAAACCATAGAATTGATCGTTGATTCAGTTCAAAGTGATGGTCATTTCATGACTTTGTGTGATGTGAAGTGTGATGGTGGCTCTATGGTAGAGGTGAAAAGTACGATCGAGACAAGTACTTCACAGAACTTCATGAAATTGATATGGATGGATGTTCTGATCATTCAAACAACAAATCATCAGTTTTATTCATTGACATGATTGTTTCATTGAATGGGAGCACTTCGCTTTTCTCGGAAAACATCATTTCTTGAGGAAGGGTACAACTCTCCTCTCTTGCTCATGTCATTCATTCTATCATCATGACACGTTATGATCATCATTGTAGAAGTGTTTCATGTGATTATGAATGGTTGAAAGTGATCATGATGAATTGTTGTTGGTATGTATTGTTGTATGATTGAATGATCATTTTATAACAATTGATTGATTAAGTTTTTCGATAAACCGATGATTGAAATGTTGTATAATACATTGTGGAGAGTATTTCTATGACTATTGATGATGGATATGATCATTATTGGTGGAGTATCATGATGAATGTTGTAGAGGTGTGATACCATATCCTTCCAAGAGTGATTGTGTCATGAACAATACACATCAACATGTTCATCATGATGAGTATGACACATCCATGTTGATTGTACTCACTGAATCATCAATTTATGGAAGTGGTGTCTCACTCTTTCAATTCATTTTTCTTTTTCACATGATGTTACGATACTGAATAATTTCAAGAATATCACAGTGACTTTATATGATAGTATATAGTGTGATATTGTTATTTTGAAATTTGTGGAATTTATGTATATGAGTTGATTTTGTTATGAGGCACATGAGCTGTGTTGAAAATGATTATTAATTAATTTTTGAAGATTTGTCAGGATAGTGATGCAGATAGTTTTTTATGGTAGATGAGATGGTGTACAACACATTGACATTAATTGTTGTACTTGTTCATGTCTAGAATGTATTGTTGTTGAGCACCTGAGAAGATTTTGTCATGAAGTGCATTACAATGTGAGACATGGTTTTTTCCTAGAGTTGTTGCAATCACCCATGTGTTGATCTTGTTCCATTGTGTTATTATTGATTGTGTGGAGTGATGTGATTCATTGTGTGATGGAAGGATTCTGTCAGGTCATGTTTGACACTTTTTCGTGGAGAGCCTGTGTTGATATATGATGGCTGCATTGAAAATAAAGAATTAATTCATTGATTTTCATGATCAGTACATGTGAAATGTGTGGTGTATGTGGTTGGTAGGCGTCAATGTTCATGTCATCTTGATTTTGAATTTTGTCTGGATTTACTGACCCTATACTTCCGCATTTAGAATATATCCAAAAAAATACTGTTGTGATTGATCAGTGTTGTTTGGTGTTGTGATGACGGGATCATGATTGAAATAATTTGTAGTGATTGTAGATGTGTCCTTCAACCGTATTGGATACGTCTACCACGATCGTTGCTGTAACCAAACGGATGAGCGTTCAAAGTTGTTCATGAAGAGTGATGAGATGAAACATGGTTGTTTGAATGTTCATTCAAGTTGATAAACATGCTTGCCATGATGGTGTGGTCACGTGATAGTGATTGTGTTGATCCATCTGTTGTGTGTGTTGAGTAATGTTTCAGTCATTACAATAAATTTTGATGTTGTGGTGGATGACATCTTTGTGTTGAACGTTTAATATTCTTTCATGATCATGAAGTGCTCATGTCATAGTGTGAGTCCTATCATTTTGAAGTGTTGCGTATTGTTGTGTGCTTGGTGTGATATGAAACTTTGAAAAAATTGTGACATTTTCTTTATATGTTGTGATGATGTTCACTACTCTTTGTGAAATTGATAAAACATGTTTATCATGTATATGACAACATACCTATGAAGTATTATTGAATGTGTATTGATAATTGTTGAGATAATTGATAAATGTTGACTTTGGAGTGTTTGGAAAAATTGTGGTCTTAGGGTTTTGGGTTTGGATAGGTGCCCAGCTCGACTTTGAATCTTAATTTTTCGACATGCTTAATCATTGGATTTTTAATTTTTATGAAATCGTCGGGGATGGAGGTATATCTATGTGTTGATATGACTTTCATCCATTAATTATGGGTAATTATTGAACTGTACTCGCTTAAAGTAGACCTTTCGTGCATGGTCGGGTTTTTCGTCATCTTTGATGTTGAGCTTGATCCAAGCACATCATTCGATTGATTTTGAAGAGTAGTACAATCGTGCTAGCGACATCAATGAATAGTGAGCTAAGTTGGTTGAGTAGTTCAACAAATGGTGACAGGTGTCAAATTTTTGATAGAATTTAAGCGAGACCTTTTTTGTAGATCTCACGAAAATAATGGGGGTCATGATAGAGCATTCGATCAGGTTTAGGGTAGTTTTCGAGAAAATCAAGTTTGAAGGAGTTTAATTGAGTTCAAAAATGACATGAAAATTTTTCAAAAAAAAATTAAAAAAAAATGAAGCCAAAACTCCCTGCATTTTTGAGGTGATCCTCATCAAGATCGGGTCATGTTTCCATTCATCATCATGTCATATTTATATTGATCACATCAAATGTGAACATCATGATCAACATTTATGAGGAATATTTTGTGTGTATGAATACACATGGAAATGATAATCATCAAATAGTACTGGTTGGAATTGTAGTGAACTGCTCCCGTTGGATGTGATGATCATGGAATGAATCTGATGATCGGAATGTCGTTACAGTGATCAGAAACCATAGAATTGATCGTTGATTCAGTTCAAAGTGATGGTCATTTCATGACTTTGTGTGATGTGAAGTGTGATGGTGGCTCTATGGTAGAGGTGAAAAGTACGATCGAGACAAGTACTTCACAGAACTTCATGAAATTGATATGGATGGATGTTCTGATCATTCAAACAACAAATCATCAGTTTTATTCATTGACATGATTGTTTCATTGAATGGGAGCACTTCGCTTTTCTCGGAAAACATCATTTCTTGAGGAAGGGTACAACTCTCCTCTCTTGCTCATGTCATTCATTCTATCATCATGACACGTTATGATCATCATTGTAGAAGTGTTTCATGTGATTATGAATGGTTGAAAGTGATCATGATGAATTGTTGTTGGTATGTATTGTTGTATGATTGAATGATCATTTTATAACAATTGATTGATTAAGTTTTTCGATAAACCGATGATTGAAATGTTGTATAATACATTGTGGAGAGTATTTCTATGACTATTGATGATGGATATGATCATTATTGGTGGAGTATCATGATGAATGTTGTAGAGGTTTGATACCATATGGGTTTGGATAGGTGCCCAGCTTGACTTGTAATCTTAATTTTTCGACATGCTTAATCATTGGATTTTTAATTTTTATGAAATCGTCGGGGATGGAGGTATATCTACGTGTTGATATGACTTTCATCCATTAATTATGGGTAATTATTGAACTGTACTTGCTTAAAGTAGACCTCTCGTGCATGGTCGGGGTTTTCGTCATCTTTGATGTTGAGCTTGATCCAAGCATTTCATTCGATAGATTTTGATGAGTAGTACATTCGTGCTAGCGACATCATTGGATAGTGAGCTAAGTTGGTTGAGTAGTTCAACAAATGGTAACAGCTGTCAAATTTTTGATAGAATTTAAGCGACACCTTTTTTGTAGATCTCTCGAAAATAATGGGGGTCATGATAGAGCATTCGATCAGGTTTAGGGTAGTTTTCGAGAAAATGAAGTTTGAAGGAGTTTCAGTGAGGTCAAAAATGACATGAAAATTTTTCAAAAAAAAATTAAAAAAAAATGAAGCCAAAACTCCCTGCATTTTTGACAGGATCATCATCAAGATCGGGTCATGTTTCCATTCATCATCATGTCATATTCATATTGATCACATCAAATGTGCACATCATGATCAACATTTATGAGGAATATTTTGTGTGTATGAATACACATGGAAATGATAATCATCAAATAGTAGCGGTTAGAATTGTAGTGAACTGCTCCTGTTGGATGTGATGATCATGGAATGAATCTGATGATCGGAATGTTGTTACAGTGATCAGAAACCATGGAATTGATCGTTGATTCAGTTCAAAGTGATGGTCATTTCATGACTTTGTGTGATGTGAAGTGCGATGGTGGCTCTATGGTAGTACTGAAAAGTACGATCGAGACAAGCACTTTACAGAACTACATGAAATTGATATGGATGGATGTTCTGATCATTCAAACAACAAATCATCAGTTTTATTCATTGACATGATTGTTTCATTGAATGGGAGCACTTCG